TAGGGGTGGCAACTGTGGAGGTGTAAGCAACTTGGAGTTGAGTTATATTTCAGCAATAAAAAAAACAGAAGTTGATAGATTGGTTTTATTTATGGTCAAGAAGAGAGTGAACTCTAGAATGGCATTTATACTTCAGCAGCAAGGTAGGTGATAATGTTGTTGACGGGAAATGTGGAAAAACTAGTTGAGTTGAGTGGGATGAAATCAAGATTTCCATTTCAGACATGTTATATGTAAGATGACTGTGATATATGCAAGGAAGATATTAAGTAGTTGCTTGGATATAATGTAAGTCTGGAATTCAGAGGAGAAATCTGACCTGGATATACATTTGGAAGATATTATCACACTTAAAACTGTGGGTATAAGTGGGATCATACATTGTACATAGAAGAAAGCAAAACCCCAGACCCAGCTCTGAGAATCTTCTGTTTAGAAATTAAGTGGAAGAGAGAGATTGAAGGGGGGAAGCCAGTGAACAATGGGTGAAAACCAGGAAAGTACAGTATCTCATAAGACAAAAAAATGGAGATTGAGGGAGGATAGACTTGTCACTTGCACCAACTGGTACTATATGGTTGATTAATATAAGAAGGTCTTGCTCCACCAATATCCTATCAGTCACTGATATTTTTTTCAATTATCAACTTTAACTATCTTTCCTGAAGTCTATATATATCATTATGTCCCTTTATACTCAGGAAAGGGAGGGAGAACCGGGATGACAAATTTACCCTGCATCTCACTTAGCTGCCATCCTAATTTTTCCTTTCTAAGTTTCCTCCCAAAATAGTCTATAAAATACTCTCCTCTTTCTCATCTACTTTTTAATCCATTGTACCCAAGTTCCACCCAGTCTCTTGTTGGGAAAATTTAGTGTCATCACTCTGGTCTTTGATGATCACCACCAGAAATTCTGAGACTTGAAATCTTATTCTGATGATTTTTGTTTTGTTTTGTAAAAAAAACTTCAGAGTTTAAAGTTTGTCTAATTTCAAAATTGTCTTTTAATTGTTGGAATTCCTGGAAACTATACAACCAAATATAAAAATGTTTATTGCTTGGAAAAACCTTGATTCATATTCTTTCCTCTTTTTTTCTAAGTATCTTTTTTTTCTAAAATTGAATTTAAATATTGTAATTCATAAGCTGGTATGACCAATTAGCACTTTCATGGACTTCAATGTATAAATTCTAAACTTGAAAGAAGCTCCAGCTCAGCCTGTAATCCCGCGCCTTTGGGAGGCTGAGGTGAGTGGATTGCCTGAGCCTGCGGGTTCGAGACCCGCCTGAGCAGCGAGACCTCATCTCAACAATAAAATCACAAAATCAGCTGGGCGTGGTAGCGCATGCCTGTAATTCTGGCTACTTGGAAGGCTGAGGCGGAAGGATCACTGGAGCCCAGCAGGTTGAGGCTGCGGTGGCCGGGAGCGGCCACTGCACTCCAGTCTGGGCGACAGAGTGAGACTCCAACTCAAAAAAAAAAAAAAAAAAGAAGCTCCAAAGGTAGTAAAAAAAAAAAAAAAAAAAAAGTTACCACTCTAACAATTCTATAAATTCAAAATAAAACTTCCTTTTATTGAGGGATTGGGGGGGGGACCCATCATTTTAAATTTTTTTTTCAAAAACAGTGTATTTCCTGTTTCAACTCATTAAGCCTTTGTGGCAAGCTGAAAGACATGGTCATTCAAAGATATATTTACTTCCTGATTTCCAGAACCTGTGACTGTTACCTTACATGACTAAAGAGTGATGATTACTTTATATGGCAATGTGATTAAGTTAAGGATTTTAAGCGAAAAAATATATATATCCAGATGGGCCCTAAATGCCCTGAATGTAGGGCTGGGCATCCCTAAATCACATGTGTCTTTATAAAAAAAAAAAAAAAAGCCAGACAGATTTTTCATCCATACAGACACAGAGGAGAAGGTGATACCAAGATGGAGGTGGAGATTGGAGTGATGCATCACAAGCCAAGGAATACCAGCAGAAGCTGAAAGAAGCAAGGAGCAAAATCTCCCCTAGAGTCTCTGGAGGGAGGGTGGCCCTCTTGATGCCTTGATTTTAGACTTCTGGTTTCCAGACCTGTAAAAGAATATGTTTCTGTTGTTTTCAGTCAGCCACCCGGTTTGTAGTAATTTGTTATGGCAGCCATAGAAAACCAGCATCAAATTTGGTATCAGGATATGAGGTCTTGCTATAACAAATACATAAGCATACCAAAGTATTATCCAAGTAACATCCAAGGAATTAGATAATGGGTAGAAGCTGGAAGAATTCTGAGTAGCATGATAGAAAACGCCTAGTTGCCTTGAAGACATTATTGATAGAAATATGGTTCTTAAGCATACTGCTGGTGAGGGCACAGAGGGAAGTGAGGAGCACAGTAGAGAAGCCTTCTACCATTGTTGAGAATGCATATGTTGTCTTGAACAAAATGTTGGAAAAAATGTAAAGAAAGAATAAGTGCTTTTTAATGGCTTAGAAGGAAAAAACACAGCATATTACTGGAAATTAGAGGAAAAATGACCCATGTTGCAAACAGCAGCAAGTTTGACTAAATTGTGTCCTACAGTCATGTAAAATTCGCAGAACTTGCAAATGATGTACTTGGACATTCAGTCAAGGAGAGAGTACCAAGCAAGCTGTTGAAAGTGTGGCCTGGTATCTTCTTTCTGTTCATAGTAAAACATGGAAGGGAAGAGCTAAATTGACGAGGGAACTATTTAACAGCTATTTTGGCAATTTGTTGTGGCAGCCACAGGAAAATAGCAAAGCCTTAAGTGATTTTATGGATTCCTCATATTAATCAGAAATGCCAGTGTATGAGTCCTTTCTCTAAAGTAAGATCAGTTTAGAGGGTCTGCTATTTTGTGTTGACATTAGATACTTGATCACTAGGTGAAGATACCTAATCAAAATATGTCCTTTTGATTTTATATGACTTGAAACTTCAAGACATGCTCTTATCAGACCTCAATTTATTATTTTAAGATTAGCCATGAATAATTAGGAGAATTAATTAACTTGACCTTAGTGCTCAAGTTCCCAAACTGGCCTATCCACAACTTGTGAGTCATTCTTTTGGTGGTTGGTTGGTTGGTTGGTTTCTTTTAGTCTTGTTTTTAAAACACAGATTCTCAGGCCCTATGCAAATCTTAATTGATTTTCTAGGGTTGAGGACTGGAGATAGATAGATAAGTAGATAGATGTGTATATATATTTTTCAAGGCTTTATTATAAACAATAATTTTAGAGAACCATAGAAATTACACAGAATAGTTGGATTTGTCTATCGTTTTTTAAGTACCTTCTATGTATCAGATACACATTTGATGTTTTATATAATATTTGTGTTTAATCTCACATCAAGTAGATTTTTACTCTCTGCTTTATAGTTGGAAAACTGAGGTTCAAAGGAGTTATATAATTTGAGCATGTATCTACCTGATTCCAAAACCCATGCTCTGACAGAAAACCAGCAGTTGAATGAAAACTGTATCTGTTCACATTTCTATATTCATCCTTTCCAGATGAATGCTGGTGGTTAAGTCATTAAACTTCTCAAACTTCCATTTCTCCTCTTTGAAGAAGTGTATAATATTGTGTATCTCAAGCAGTTTTTATGACAATTGAATTAAATTATGTACATAATAGTTTGGCAACTAAAAATAAAGTACTATGCAAACATGGTTTGCTTTACTATGATTTTTACTCTTATCTGTTTTTTTTTATTTACGGAATAAGTAAAGTATAATTATGCTATCTGGCAGAATCACCAACTCTCACAAAATGCAACATATATTGTCAGTTGCTTCTATTCTTGTGAACTTAAAGCTTCCTGAATATTTGCTTCTAGACCCAACCTGGACCAGAGTTCTAGTCATAGCTCTGCCATTTACTAACAGTAGAATCGTGGAATAGTCTCCCCATGATTTTGATTATTCACCAGTAAAAAGGAGATATGATGCAGATGGTTTGAGTATTAAATTAAAATAATGCAGAATGCTTATGGTATTTATTTAAAATCATCATTGTTACATTCATGTTACTAGCTGTTAGCAGTATGGCAAAAGTTCCACTAGGCACCACTCTGTGAAGAGGGACACGGGCAGGAAGTAGAAAAACCCAGATCCCTTGCCAGTCTCCTAAACTCCCATTTCTATGGCAGCAAAATAAAAAAAAATTTCAACTTTGGCTACTCTGTAGCAGATTCTCAGCAAGGAATCCCCAGATAGATAGAGAAGTAAAAGAGAGGTTAATTATGTAGCTCTTATGAATATACACTGTGCCATAAATTTACTGTATTTATATGCCGAATAGAAGACTGAAAACATCCTTTGGCACTTGAGATGGCCAGTTGGAAAGGCAATCATACACTACTTGGTAACATTAAATAAGTCAGAAATGCTTTCTTTTGGTTATCTAATCTGTTATATAATTAATAATGATAACAATAACAATTATTTAGAGAAGTCCCATGCCAGGAACCATGTACATTATCACTAGGCTATAAAACTCTGCTAGATAAGAATCATTAATTACCTCATTTGCAGATGAGGGAATTGAGGAACAGATGAGTTAAGGAAAGTGTTGATGGTTAAATAGCTGAGATTGCTCATGGGATTCAAAACAGAGTCTAACCACCTGTAAAGCTTATGTCCTTTCCACTGCCATATGATGCCTCCACTAGAGGTTCTCATGTCCTGCACTGCTAGTTTTTTGTGGCAACCATTGTTAAGTTATTCTTCTGCCCTTTTATTTTATATGTACCCCTACCCTTGAATAGGCACATAATAAAATTATAAAATCATTATTTATATTACATATATATATATATATATATATATATATAGGTGGTAGAGAGACGAGACGGATATATAGATGATAGAGTGAAAGTGTGTGTATATGGCACACAGTCACACTCTGTGACCTTTAAAACCATATAGTGGTTCTCATTATCACATCTCTTGTGCTCTGCTTGTGTTTCTGCCCAGGTGTGCAGAGCAGCTAGTTCACAATAACCTCCCAACCACCAGTGTTATCATGTGCTTTGTGGATGAAGTCTGGTCCACTCTGCTGAGATCTGTTCATAGTGTCCTCAACCGCTCTCCTCCGCACCTCATCAAGGAGATTCTGCTGGTGGATGACTTCAGCACCAAGGGTAAGAAAACCACTCAAGCTTTCTCTTGAAATGTCAACATTTGGTATGAAGCAATAGCAGTTTAGATGACAAAATTATAGGGTAATTTGATGAAGCATACACATTTTGCAAATGGTAAATCATTGTTGCATTTGGAGCCGTGGAGGCATAAGTGTAAACATCTATGGATATTAAAAGTCTTCCAGAGCTCTGTTCAGCTAGCTTTCCCAGGCCTCCCCTCAGCTGCAACTCCCCTGCCATGTAAGAGTTATTTTCTAACTACAGCTCCTTGGAGGTGAGCACTTTGAAGTGTCAGCATTCAGAAGATATTCTCTACAATTGCAAGCATCCCTTTTTATGGAATCTAATAAGCAGTTAATGGGATGCATTCCCTACTCCTAATAACTGAGATTCTGAAAAGCAAAGAAATGGAATCCTGTGGCTTCTTCCTCAAGAGCAAGAAATATTATGTGTTCAGTTAAGTGTTGAGGAGACAAATTGCTAATGAGTTCAGAGAGATGTTGCTCCAACAGAGTTTAAAAGCAAAATTCACCACAGTCTTGAAGTTTGTTTCTGTTTAATACAGTAAAGGATCTCACTCTTTGAGTTGTCAAATAACTTGTATATGTAGGGGATCTCACAGGTCCCATGACAACCCCATTACAAATTCCCAAAATGCAACGCATTTGAGAAAAGTTTAGAAGATAACAAAGAGACGGCAACACTAACAGAACAGCTTTGCCTTGATCTCTGACTACAGAGACATGGGCAGTTTATTTGGCCTCAGAGTTCCTGCCACAATCACACTGAGCTCCAGAAGTAGCCAAATGCCAGAGGAAAGCTGGTTGGAAACTTTAAATGCCTTGAAAACATAAACAAAAAAAATATCTAGTTACTAAGCAGATGAAAGTCTCCTTATGAGGGGCAGGTCCAGAATCTGTGAGACCTGAAGTTCTCAGGGTACTAAAGAGGAAAAGAAGACAAAATTAGTGGAAAAGTGAGCTGCAAAAGTAGTCCTGGAAGTCATTTCTACCTGGGATAGCTCTCAATAGCTTAATTATACACAGAAGTGACTGCAAACCACATAAATATACCCCATAAACATACCTCTTGTGTTTCTTTAGCTGTATTACTCTATGACCATCCAAAAGAGAGAAAACGTGATAGTCATGTCAGAGTAGAAAATGGCAGCAATCTTAACCAGCTATGGTTAACTAGCTTTCTTTTGAATTTGCACACATTGCCTAGCCTCTTTCCTAGGTCTCAGAAGGGCTGTTTGCAATGGGTGGGAGTGCAAATGAAAGAAGAGTTATGCAGAAGACTGAGCTACATTTATTTCAAGGTGAATCTACCACTTTCTTGACAAATACTCAGAAAAGGTGAACCCTCCACTGAGTCATTTTGCAACACTGAAAAGAAGAATTTGGGATTTGAGAAATCAGACAACTTTCAAGAAAATGGCATCAAGATATAGAATTATGACACAAGGAATAAAAGTTAGTGACTATAGTAATGTCATAGGTTTTGGTATTTGACATTGGGCAGACACTTCTTTTGGTACTATCCAGACCCAGTTAATCCAAGTGTTCACTTGTTTATCCTTACTCTGATACAGACTACCTAAAAGATAATTTGGATAAATACATGTCTCAGTTTCCAAAAGTTCGGATTCTTCGCCTGAAAGAGAGACACGGTTTAATAAGAGCCAGGCTGGCAGGGGCCCAGTATGCAACAGGTAAGAAGCTGCTCATTTATTTTGTTTTGGTTACATTTTTGCTCAAATTTAAAATGTTTTTTCCAAATACAACATTTAAAAGAATAGTGCAGTGACACCTATATATTCATCACTTAATTCCACCAATTTTTAACAATTTTTACAATATGTGCTTCATCACACACATACATAGACACGTGCTTATTTGTATACATTTTATTCCCTGAACCTTTCAAAAGGAATTTACAGATATCAGGACACCCCTAAGTACTTCAGTAGGAATCTCTAAGGAATACAGACATTCCCTTAATCAAGTACAACTTTCATACATAAGTATTACCTGATATATGCTCTTTTCAAATTTTCTCATTGTTCCAAAATTTTTTAAACATTCAATATATAATTAATTTTTATGTCCTGCATTTGATTGTTTGGTCTCCTTAGTCTCTCAATCTAAAATAGTCATTTTCACACAATTTATTTCCAAACTATTGTGTTGGTTTGGGTTTTTGGTTTTTGTTTTTAAAGTCCAGGCCATTTATTTGGTACAATTTTTCACATCCTGAAATTTTCTGTTTCCTCATGTTACCCACAGGATAAATGTTTTTGGCATAAATACTATATAGAATTTCTACTTTATAGGTGATAGGAATTGTGTGCAAATTGCTTCATATCAAAAGGAAGATAATGTCAGGTCACCCACTGTTGGTGACGCTTTGATAACTTGGTTAGGATGTTGACAGTTAAATCTTTCTTTTGAGAGTAAGAAATAATTTGTGGGGTGATACTTTGATCCATGAGAATAGTCTGTGTTCCTCACAATACTCTGTCCGATGGCTTTTAATATTCATTGCTGATTCTTATTAGAATCAATTATTACATTGAGAGTTGTAAAATTGTTTTTCTATCATTCCTTCTTTTTTTATCTGGCAATCATTTGTAATAAAGAAATATCTCTCTCCCTCTCCCACTTCCTCCCTCTCTTTTCTTTCCCACATCTCCTCTCCCCTCCCCTCTCATTCCCATATCACCATGGATTTAAGATGTTAAAAAAAAATTAAACATGTATCATATCAGCATTATTCTTTTTGATGTGCAAATCGTCCCAAATTTGACCATTTGGAATCCTTCGAATCTGTGTCATTTTTACCTGACCCCATAAGTAGTTGAGAACTTCAGAATTTTTTAATTCTAGGTTCCTTACTCCTGTCTTTTCTGATCTATGCCTGCTGTTTCTATAGTCCTTTCTATCTTCCCAAGAAACAATATGCCTTCTTCTTTCCCTCTGTACTTTTTAGTGTATGGGTGTCAGTGAGTGAATGGGAAGAGATAAATCTCTTCTGTCTATGTGATTCTAAAAATAACATCAGACATTTGCATTCATTATTAGATCTTTCTTTACTTCTTTTTTTCTTTTGGAATCAGAATCACTCTGTCACCCAAGCTGGAGTGCAATGGCATGATCATGGGTCACCACAACCTCGACCTCCTGGGCTCAGGTGATCCTCCTCAGCCTCCCAAGTAGCTGGGACTACCGCTGTATGTCACCATGCCTGGCTTTTTTTTTTTTTTTAATTTTTGTAATGATGAGGTCTTGCTGTGTTGCCCAGACTGGTCTTGAACTACTGGGCTCAAGCGATGCTCCCACTTCAGCCTCCCAAAGTGCTGGGATTACAGGCATGAGCCATTATGCCCAGCTCATTATTATATCTTTCTATGGAAGTATCTGTGCTCTGTAATAATCTCTGACCAGATATGATACCAGATATCATTCTAAATATTTTCTATTTTCTACCGAATCCTCACAATAACTCTTTGAGATAGGTACAATCATTTCCTCATTCTACAAATGAGAATATAGAGGCACAATGAGGCTGTGACCTACTCATACTCTTCCAGGTAGTCAATAGGAAGGCCATAATTGACACCCCAACATCCTGGCTCCAGAGTCCATCCTCTAACCTAATATACTTTGTGGCCTAGAGACATTTAGCTGCCATTCTGCCCCATAAGCTCTGGCACGGCAGATCTCCACCAGCCTGGGTTCAAGCATGTTCTGGTGGGGAATTCTCTGCTCACCCAGTTTCATTTCCTTGTAGCTAGACCTTAAATTTGGAACTCTTCTGATTCCATTGGTTTGCTGACAGAATTAGTCTCTTTGTAGTGGAAATTTTAAGTGAGCAACAAATACATCACATCAAAAGTGGCATTGCAGTGATAAATAAGATTGTTAATGAGAGAAAGCATTCAAACAAATTAAGTGGCATCCTATGCTTCATTTTCTTTTGAAAGTATTTATAAATGATGCAAAAAATAGAATAATCAAGAAATAGTTCAAGTAGGTAACTTTTTGAGCTGAGATCTGGTTGAGAAGTATTCCCAGACAAATGGAGCAAGCCATGTTCCAAAACAGAAATGAGCTTGACATATTCAAGGTAAAGAAAAAAGATCATTATTGTTGGTGGGTGCTGACCACTGGAGAGAGAGGTAGAAGAGATCCATTTGTGGAGAAAGGCAAAAGCAGGCTTTTCTAAAGATGTATGCATTACTTAAAGAGTGTAGGCATTATTCTCATTGTAATGTGAAGCCAATGAAAGACATCAAACAGTGGGGGAAACTGACTGATTTACATTTTGAAAGTTCATTCTGGCCACTATGTAGACAATGGATATTAGGGAGATAAAAAAGGAAGGTCAGTTCAGAGGCTATTATAGTTATCCAAGTATGAAGGAGGTACCAGGATAGAGGCTACCATGGATGTGGACATAGAGCCTATAGGACTTGCCATCAGATAAGATGTGAAGAGAATAAGAATGAGAGGATTAAAAAAAAAACCCTAGGATCAGAATCTAAACAACCTGGTGGTTGGTGGGGTCATAACTAGAGGAGCAGGTTTGGGATTGTAGTTGAGTTCTGGTAAATGTAAGTTTGAGATGATTATTAGACACGCATATGGAGAAAGTTGAAGACAGGATCAAATATGGGTTGCTTATATTAATAAAAAAAGTTTCCTCTGCTTGTATGGAGCACAAAGTATGCTAGTAATGACCTCTAGAATAGTCCAAACTGTTGGATAACATGCGGGCTGTCTTCAGATGAGATGTTATATGCATGATTAAAAGCAGTTACAATTGCTTGCTCAAGTGCTTGCAGTTATAACCATAAAATAACTTCTTCGGGTTTAGCAAATCTAAATGTAAATTTGTTTCTCAGTCATTCATTAACACCCTTGAGAACATTAGCTCAGTTTTGGTATAGTAACTTTCAAATCATTTTGACGATGGCTCATGTTAAGAAATAAATTTCACATCACAACTCAGTACATGTGTAATCACACATATAACTACAGTAGACATTTCATCAAATAACATGTGCAGTGGATTCTAATATCTTATTTTCCATGTTATTTATTTTTTAGAAAACCACACTAAATTGATTTAATGATTCACTAAGGAGTCTGCAAATCTCAGTCTGAAAAATCCCAGCTAGGTGTATCTTAATTGCTTGCCACTACCTAGTGAAAAGAAGTTTCTCAAACTATCTGAAAAGGACTTTTTTCCTGATTTCCAGTTATTGTTGTAGTTGTTGTTGTTGCTTATGGACCCACCCCTTTGTAAATTACAGTAAAAATTAATTATCTAAAAAATAGATATATAAAATGCAAACCCATTTTTATTATATAGATAATATATGTATCAACATATATAAAAATAGTAAATAAATAAATAAAGAATTCTAACAAATTACCATAAAATTTTAAAACATTTGTTCTCAGTCTCTATTCCCACCACCCCATAAGCTGCAGGGTCTGTGGCCCACACTTTGAGCAGCATTAGTTAGTTGAGGGTGGATGCCTGAGAGTTTGGAAAGAAGCAGAAAGGTGTGTCTCGAAGAGATGGAGTTAATAGCAGCTTTGTTGAAGGATACATCCACCTGCCCTGAAGTACCCTGGACTCCTGTGTGGAATTCAAGGGAATTCAGGATCAGCTTTAGTGGAGGACATAATTCAGAGACTGGCATTGAACAGAGCTGGAAGGCATGGTGAGTCCTCTCAAGCTCTTCTTGAGTGTTCCACAGTCCTCATAAGTAGAGACAGGCAGGAGACTGATCAGGGTCTGAAGAGTCCCATAAATTAGAGGCCAGCAAAGATACCAAGCAGTCCTTGACAGCTATTGTCCCCTGAATATTTTACCCTTTAGGATTCGAAGACTCGAAAGCTTGCAGAAGTAGAAGCCAAGTAGGCCCATTTTGGATATTATAGGTCCGAAAGAGTCATCTACAAAATAATGAAGAGGCAAACAGTAATTTCTGTTGCCATCAGCAATGTCTACTATACTTTCCATTTCCAGGGCATGTTAGGTTCTTCATCTGAATCTGATTCAGGCAAAAAAGATCAGGAGCCATCAGTTGCTTGCTATGAATGAGGAGGTTGAGAGACTCAAGTAGGATTTCAAAATTTGACAGGCAGGCCAAGGGTAAGAGGTCTCCTAGAATCATTCACTATATGATTGCCACTAGAAGTAAAAAGATGGAGGGAGTGAAGAACAGGAAACAAGCAGATCACCTGGATCTGTTACGAGTGTTGACAGACCAAGTGAGTTACTGCCCTGCCAAGAGAAGTCTGCAGTCAGGTAGTTGCGCTACTGAGAGTCAACGTAAAAATCAAATTCTCATTTCCTTCATGACATGGCATTTAGCAAAATTGCTGACATTGCTATGAGCATTCCAAAGAATCAGTTGGCTTATTTAAGGAACTGGACAAAAAGTGGCGTCTAACTCTGGGCCGACTCCAAGGTCTCCTAAAAAGCCACAGTGAACATCCTTCTGTAAAATTCTTCAACTTGTGTCTGCTGCAGGCAAAACAGATGATTTTCTTAGCATTATTTGTAAGTCTTTATGTAAAAGTAAGTGGCAAGCCAGGCCCTCATCTCTCAGGGAACCCTAAACATAACTTTCCAGTATTCATTGGTGCTGCTTCAATATCTCATGCTGGTAGATAGAATATACATGGGGGCCCATGTTTAACAAGGACCCAAAGCTGTTTGTCACACTGAGCAGCTTTAGGTTACTAAAAAAAAGTTTGTTTAAGTTACAATGAAATTCATGCTGCAGCTGGGCATGGTGACTCACGCCTGCAATCCCAGCACTTTGGGAGGCAGAGGCAAGAGGATTGCCTGAGCCCAGGGGTTCATGATCAGCCTAGGCAACGTGGTAAGACCGTGTCTCTACAATACATCCAAAAAATTAGCCAGGTGTGGTAGCTACTTGGTTTCAGCTACTTGGAAGGCTGAAGCAAGAGGATCACCTGAGCCCAGGAGTTCGAAGCTGCTGTGAGCCGTGTTTGTGCCACTTGACTCCAACCTGGGAAACAGAATGAAATTCTGACTCAAAAATTAAAACTAAAAAAAAATTCATTTGCAAACAATCCCATATTACTGGGACCCACTCTTAGGAAACAGAAAATCCTACTAGGTGACAATATTGTTTTTTGGTTTTTTGTTTGTTTGTTTAGTTAGAGTCTCACTCTTGTCGTCCAGACTAGAGTACAGTGTCGTCCAGGCTAGAGTACAGTGTTATGTTCATGGCCACCACAGACTTGACCTACTGGGCTTAGGTCATCCTTCTGCCTCAGCCTTCCAAGTAGCTGGAACTACAGGTGCATGCCACAACTCCTGGCTAGTTTTTTCGTTTTTTGGTTTTTTTTGTTTGTGTATGTGATTTTTTTTGTAGAGACAAGTTCTCACCAAGTTGCCCAGGCTGGTCTTGAACCCCTGGGATCAGGCAATTCTCTCACTTTGGCCTGCCAAAGTGCTGGGATTATAGGCTGAGCCACCATGCCTGGCTGACTATCATTATTTTATCCTTTGACCAACCTCTCCCTATCGCCTTTTCCCCTCCCCAGTTCTAATATTCCATAGCACTGTAGCATACAATAATTTACTATATATTTTCAAATAGCTAGAAGAACAGATTTTTAATATTTCTAATATAATAAATAATAAATATTTGTGGTGATAGATATATGCTAATTACCCTGATTTGATCACTACATATTGTATGTATCAAAATATCACTATGTACCCTATAAATATGTATAATTATTATGTCTATTTTTAAAAATTTGTTTAAAGATTGGGTTAATCATTCTGCACTTGGGCTTAAAAATTTGTTCAGAACAGTAAGTAATACTGTTTTTTGAGTTGAGGTGTGAGGTAGAACTTAAAAATATCCCTGTAAGATAAAGCTCAGAAAAGTTAAGTAACGTATGCAATGTTGCTAGGAAAAGCAGAGCACAGATTGAAGGCAGGACTCGGTAACTTTAATCCTATGCTTACTTTCCAAGTGTCTCAGCCTCTCAGGATTAGGATCAGAGTGTACAATGTTCATAGAAAATTCCACCACAGCCGGGCTCAGTGGCTCAGCCTGTAATCCCGTGCCTTTGGGAGGCTGAGGTGAGTGGATTGCCTGAGCCTGTGGGTTCGAGAACTGCCTGGGCAGTGAAACCTCATCTCTACAATAAATTTAAAAAAAAAAAATCAGTCGGGCGTGGTAGCGCATGCCTGTAATTCCAGCTACTCAGAAGGCTGAGGCGGAAGGATCACCGGAGTACAGCAGGTCGAGGCTGCGGTGGCCGGGAGTGGCCACTGCACTCCAGTCTGGGCAACAGAGTGAGACTCCAGCTCAAAAAAAAAAGAAAAGAAAATATCCACCACAATTAAAAATCCCATCAAGAGTCAGCCACATAGGGGGCTCCCTTTTTCCTACCTAACACAGTCTTGAGATCTTATTTTAAAATAAAAAGTCTGAAAGTGTAGCAGTGGCATGCATGTAAAAAAGGATTCTCCTTTTCCCTAAAATAAAACAATATGAAATTTCAGACTATGTTTTGAGCAGATGCTGCTTCCCCCAGGTCCTGGCAACAAATGAATGAGAATTTTTGTAGGGATCTGGGCCAGGTGGGAATTGAATGCAGGTTTGGTTATCCATCCTGCTGTCACTAGGGTTTGAGGAAGTGAATCCAGGCTCCTTTGACCACAGAATAATTCTAAGTGCACCTTTAACTGAAAGCAGCAGAAAGCCTGCTGTGAGGATAGGAACATAGATAGGATATATAGTAGAGACTACTTTTTAAACTCTGGGTCTGAATGAACCAAACATAGGAGTGATGAGAGAAGAAAGACTCTCAGCACATCCTATACCACTAAGCAAGTGGACCTTCGCAGGCCATGACCCTATGACCTTTTTATGGCAGGGAAGAGGACTGTGCAAGAGGACACCTAAGGGATGTGTTAGTCTGTTAAGGCTGCTATTATGAAATATATTAGACTAGGTAATTTTTAAACAGCACACATTTATTGCTCACAGTTCTAGAGGCTGCAAAGTCCAAGATCAGGCCACAAAGGGTAGGTGAGAGAGCAGGTTTCCCTCATGAGAACGTTGGACCAGGGACTATTTCCATGTTAATAATCACATGCACACACACACAGATACACACAATCTATTTATATAAGATCTTGTGGAACAATGTAGATACTACTGAGTGTCATTGGGGAGAGAGTGTAACTTAATAAAACTAATAGGAATAACAGGAATCCTTTTTTTTTTTTTGAGTTGAAATCTCACTCTGCTACCCACAATGGAGTGAAGTGATATGCTCACGGTCACTGCAGCCTCAACCTGCTGGGCTCAGGTGATCCTTCAGCCTCAGCCTTACAAGTAGATGAAAGCTAATTTTTTTTTTATTTATTGCAGAAATGAGGTTTCACCAAGTTGCCCATACTGGTCTCGAATCTGTGGGCTCAGGCAATCCCCTATTTTCAGCCTCCCAAAGTGTTGGGATTATAGGCATGAGCCACTGTACCCAGCCAAAAGGAGTTCTTAATAAATACTTCTGGCATCCAATTTTTTTTCTCTTATTATATTTTTTTATTGGGGTAAAATACATATAATATAAACTTTACATCTTAGTCATTTTTAAACATAGTCAGTAGAGTTAAGGACATTCACATTATTGTGCAATCTCCAGAACTCTCTTCATCTTGCAAAAATAAAACTCCATGCAAATCCATTAAACTCATTCCCTACTCCCTTCTCCTGTAACTCTTTTAATAGTACCTTCTAGTTTTACTGGTTCCTCCACTGTAATTTCTTTCACCACTATTATGTGAAGTGATTTTCCTCTTCATTATTCCTAAACCCAAATTTGTAATCTCAAAATCGCAATGGTCTTCTTTAAAAAAAACTCCCACAAATTAAAAGAAACTTCAGCAACTACCTTTAATCCTGAATATTCCCTTTAGATTCTTGTTACCCATTCTATGTGACTTTTTAGTTTTTTCCACATACAAATTATGCATCCCCCATAGGACTCCAAGGAACAAAGTTTCTTTCATTTCATTGTAGAATGAAATTATAGGGACCAGGAATTTCATGAGAAAAAAAAGACTACTATGTTTTTAACCATATTTCTGGAGCAATCCTCAACACCTTTGAACATGAAGGACGCATATTCAATATATTGTATTTTCAGGTTTTTTGTTTGTCTCTCTAGGTGATGTGTTGACATTTTTAGACTCTCATGTGGAATGTAATGTTGGTTGGTTGGAACCTCTTCTAGAAAGAGTATATTTAAGTAGAAAAAAAGTGGCCTGTCCAGTAATTGAAGTCATCAATGATAAGGATATGAGGTAAGATTGCCACATTCCACAGAATACTTCTAAGTGCACCTTTAACTGAAAGCAGCAGAAAGTGCTGGTTATGTTCCTGATATGTTTATTTCTTGAAAATCAAAAAAAATACAGTTTATCAACATATATAAATGAAAATACATGATAGATATCTTTGGATAAGCGTCTGTCATTCCAATAATCTACTTAGTCACAAATTCTTAACTCTAAATACCAATAAATCCTAATACTCATTATCTGGTCCTCTACATTATATTTGGAATATGATATACTTTTTATATTTAGCTGATCTCCAAAGTTTATATTTTCCTCGTTTTTATTATTTTTTTCCTGTGGGAAACGTACATATACTTCTAAATTGTTGTTGTATTTTTTCTTCAAAAATGTCCAGGACATTATCAAAAGAGAAGTATAAGTTCTTTTGATAATGAAGAATTGCTAAGGCAATTCAGCCAATTGATGGCTAATGCAAAATGTACTTATAAACTTTTTTGAACCACTATTAAAAGGTGGTGACCGAAAATCATTTGTTTTATTCATATAACTACATCATGGAACTGAGTTGATAAAGTATATAATGGTGTATATAATCTCACATAGTACATTTTTTTTCCTGGATTAGTTACATGACAGTGGACAACTTTCAAAGAGGCATCTTTGTTTGGCCCATGAACTTTGGTTGGAGAACAATTCCTCCAGATGTTGTTGCAAGAAACAGAATTAAAGAAACTGATATAATAAGGTAAGTGTGTGAAATGTAAGACTAGAAAGTAATCCTATGTCTTTGTAAAATTCCACAAAACAACTGTATACTGTCATTCTATAGAACATCAAGAATCACATTTCTAGCCAATAGATTACCAAAGCAACCAGTTTTTCTGAGAAATTAGTTTCCAAATCTCATTTTTAATGGTTGATTATCATCCATTCAACCCTGAACTCAGAGAAATTCATTAATGCTATTCCTATTCCCTAGGATTTATAATCTAAAAAACACATACTAGTTAAATGTGCTGCATAAATGCTATATTAATACACATAATATGGAACACAGTACAAATTAAAAGTAAATAGAAAGTAATCTAAATATCATTATAATAATAGCTGTGGTTAGGATTTTCTTTTACAGTCTAATCTTGACCCCTTCAAGGGAAAGTTGACACATTCTGTGAGTGAATTAAGAAGTAGATATAGAAGCTAGATATGAATGAAACATGGACTATTTATGGAGAAAATTGGATAGAAGAACATGGCTTAGACCTATAGCCAAAGAATGGAGTTTCCTATTACTTCCTCAGAATCCAGGCCTGCAGGAAAGTCATTCAGTCAGCTGTAAGCAGAGCAGCGGGAGTCCTGAAGTCTTCCCTGACACAACTTGAGCAGACACAAGCAAACCTCAAGAGAAACCAGTCCAGACTGCATTGCAGCATGTTTTACCTAAATTTACCCCCTCAATAAATAATACCACCTTTTGCTCCAGGTGTGATGCCTTCAGAACTGATACCCCCAGGTGGTAGAGTGGGGTTTCAAACACTTAGAAACACTAAGTGCCAGACATTGGGCTCTTTTTCACAACCCTACAAGGGAGTACTCACCTCATGGAAATAAGGAAATTGAGACTTAAAAGTATGAAGTAATTTTCCTAGGGATACACAGCTAATGGAAGAAAAATTTGGGATTCAAATCCAGATCTGCCTGAATTTAACATTCTTATTCCTTATGTTAGGAAGAAAATGGGTTCTGGATATTCTGGCAAGGGTGATTGGGATACAAGTTGAACATGTACATAAATGGTGGCTATGGGGAAAGAGGTGTGGAGCAGGAAATATGTTATCCATGAGATTGCTGTATACCCTAAATACAAAGAAGGCTTTCCACACAAATCACTTTCAGCTGACTCAGTAGTGATGGCCATGGGAGGTGATTATTGCAGACTAAAATGTAGTTTCTAACATCCATGATTAATAATAGCAGTGAAAGTTCTAGAGTTAGACTCTGGGTTTGAACCTCAATTCTACTATTTACTAGTATAGGCTTAAAGATTACTTAACCATTTTAAGTCTCTATCTCCTCATTTTTTCGTGAAGACGAAAAATGTTACTTTGCTTTCAGAATGTAATCAGGTAATAGACATGCAGTGCTTCTAAAAGTGTTTACCACATAACAAGCTGACAATAAAGTTTGTCTATGGTTGAGAAACAATATAATGGAGTGAGGCAGTATAGACTCAGACAGCCTAGTATGAGCCCAAAATGCCTTTTGTCCTTGGGAAAGTTTTTCTGAAAAAACTTTTTGAAAAAAATTTTTTGAAAAAAATTACTAACTCTGTGTTGCAGATTCTTTTTTTTTTTTTTTTTTTGAGTTGGAGTCTCACTCTGTCACCCAGACTGGAGTGCAGTGGCCACTCCTGGCCACCACAGCCTCGATCTGCTGGGCTCCGGTAATCCTTCCGCCTCAGCCTTCCAAGTAGCTGGAATTACAGGCGCGCGCTACCACGTCTGGCTAATTTTTTGATTTATTGTAGAGACGAGGTCTCGCCAAGTTGCCCAGGCGGGTCTCGAACTCAAGGGCTCAGGCAATCCACTCACCTCAGCCTCCCAAAGTCGTGGGATTACAGGCTGAGCCACCGAGCCCGACACAGATTCTTAATAATGGTGCACTCACAAGGTTTTTGTGAGGTCTGGGTTAATATATAGATGATACTTTAGAACAGTAACAGTGCCTGGTTCTCCCACAGCCCTGAATAAGTGTTGTCAAAAATAACATCTCTGAAAGGTTTGTGTCACAGTACAAAGGACAAATAAGAATCCTATTTTCAGGTCACATCTTTGCTGACTCTAATCAAATTCCATCACCCATGAACCAGAAAATGCATCACTTAAGTGCATTTGTGATTCCATCGCTAGACTTCTTTGCACATGGATGTTTTCCTGAAATACCCCCTACCTTCAACACAAATGTATAAGGGACCAACTCTAAAAGTAGTGCTTTCATGAGATGCACATTTGAAAAGTGAGCTTTCTTTTCTTTTTGTAGGTGCCCAGTGATGGCTGGTGGATTATTTTCTATTGAAAAAAATTACTTTTTTGAACTTGGAACATATGATCCTGGCCTTGATGTTTGGGGTGGAGAAAATATGGAGCTCTCATTTAAGGTATTGCCAAGTGTTTCTGAAATTTTCTTTTCAATTAGGAGTCTATCATTTTAAAATAGTTTCATTTTACTAATGCAATCAGATATGTGACTTCCACTGAAAGAAATTTCCACAGAAATGTTAGCATCACTACATTAATTTTTTTGTATGTCAGATAGAATATGGAAGAATTGATCACTGCCATAAAATTTATTATCGTTCCTTAATATTTCACAACACCATTTCTGCTCCTAAATACTGGGGAAATGGCCTTCTGCAACTCAATATGGATGCTGTGGGAGTCATACTTGACATGAAATAACTCTCCTAGAACATCTCTCTAAAATATTGGAAGGAATGGAATCATTTTATAATGGAACATCTTGGAGAATACAAATGACAGATGTACAAAAATTAGCTCTAGAGCAAGCCACCAATGGGCCAAGTGTGTCCATGGTGCAGCTCCTTTGGACAATTTATACAACCACTTTTACACCAATTGATGAACATTCAAGAAAGCAACAGTAGAGAGCATGCAAAAAGCAGCTACTTTTCTATAGGGTCAGGTGAGCTGTAGTAAAGCAAGTGTAACTTTGGAGCTGCCAATCAAGAAAAATGTTTTTTGTTGTTATTGTGCACTAAAAAACTTTTGAATCTTCCAAAAAATCAGAGAAAAGAAAGGTAAACAAGTGGACAGCCATTCTCCTTTTTCTAATTCAATCAAGGCAGGAGCATATATTTTACACATTGGAAACCTGTGAGAATTTCTTTGGAAAAAAAGGGGCGGTGGTTTATAAGTTATCAAAGAAAAAAAATGATATTTTACTAATCCTAAAATGGTCTGCAGTAATACACAAAACTAAAAAACCTGTTGGATTTGTTGACAAAAATGCCAAACTCTGTAAAATATTTTAAGAGGTTTATTCTGAGCCAAATGTAATGACCTAGGCCCATGGCGCTGTCCCTAGGAGTCCTGAGAAAATGTGCCCAGAATGGCTGAATTACAGCTTGATTTTATACATTTTTTTTTAAAGACAGAAGTTTCAGGCAATACTTGTGATATTTACATTGCTTGGCTTTGGCTCTGGGAAGATGGGACATCTCCAAGTGAGGGGCTTGCAGATCATAGGTGGATTCAAAGATTTTTTGATTGGCAACTGGTAGAAAGAGTTAAGCTCTGCCTGAAGAATTTGAAATCAGTAAAAAGGAATTGCTTAAGTTAAGATAAAGGGGATGTTGAAGAAGCCAAGGTTCTTGGTATGTAGATGAAGACTCTAAGAAGCAGGCTTTAGAAAGAACAGATGACAAATGTCTCTTATTCAGACGTTAAAGGTGTCAGACTCTGAGTTAATCCCTCCTGGATCTGAGAATGCCAGGAAGGAGAAAGATCTGGCTATGGGAATGGTGGTTCTCTATAGATATAAATATTATCCCACAAAAGACAGTTTTGCAAGGTTATTTCAAACATGTTAAAGAAATATATTTTGGGGTAAAATATTTTTATTTCCTTTGGGACCTGCTATCATTTGTGTGATGCTGCACCAGTTCGGTTGGGATCTGGTATCCTATTGCCACAGAGTCTATTTTGTCAGTCTTATTATCTCTATTTTAAAGTTAATGCTGGTTAGCTGTGCCTTATACTCCACAGGGTGGGGGTATAATGAGTCATGTCCAGCCTCCTTTCCCATCATGGCCCAGGATTCAGTTTTTCAGGTTTCCCTTGGCAGAGGGGCTCCCTTCAGTCAGTTGGAGGGCTTAAAATTTTATTTTTGTTCTATAGGTTTCCTGTTCTATTGCAAGTGTTTTTAAAGTTAAGTACTACTTCAAGCAGAATGAAAGAAAGATGGTTTCTGGTTATTGTTAATTGTTCATTATTTTTGGACAATCATCTGATAATTGATGCTTATCATCAAATGTTTTAGGTATGGATGTGTGGTGGTGAAATTGAGATCATTCCCTGTTCCCGAGTGGGCCACATATTCAGAAATGACAATCCGTATTCCTTCCCCAAAGACCGGATGAAGACAGTGGAGCGGAATCTGGTGCGAGTTGCTGAGGTGTGGCTTGATGAGTATAAAGAGCTGTTCTATGGCCATGGGGACCACCTCATAGACCAAGAGTTAGATGTCGGCAACCTCACCCAGCAAAGGGAACTGCGAAAGAAACTGAAATGCAAAAGTTTCAAATGGTACTTGGAAAACGTCTTTCCTGACTTGAAGGCTCCCATTGTGAGAGCTAGTGGTGTGGTAAGTTCAAGTGGCAATTTGAAATCTTACTTCATAAAAACAAAACACAAAAACCCTTTCAAAAATGTGTGGAAAAGGATGAATTATTACATTATAGATAAACATCAAATATGAGTGCCAATGGGAAAAATCTGGTTGAAAAGTAAATATATGTAAGCTTGAGAAAGACTACCAGGTGGTCATGTTCATTAATTAATTCACTAGGTACCTATTGAGTATTAATAAGCTAGACAGTATTTCAGACTTGGATCACAATGTGATGAACAAAGTAGATGTGATCCTTTCCTTACGGAGCTTAAAGTTGAATATGGAAGAAAGAAAATAAGCTAATTGCAAATAAAGTATAAGTACAAACTATAATAGCTCTAATTTAGGGAGCAGGTCACAAAGGATGAATCCTTAGAGTGGTCAAAAAATCGTTTCTGAGGAGGAGATTTTGAAATCCTGGCTTAAAGGACAAACAGTCAGCTCAGTTCTAAAGAAGACAGGTTGTGGAAAACTCTAAGATGGGTGAAAGTTTGAGGCATTCAAAAACTAAAAAGAAGATTAATATTGTTGTCAGCATATAAATGGGGGAAGAATGATACCAGATTAAGGTGGAGAGGAAGGCAGGAGTCAGATCACACAGGTCCTTGTAGGAAAAGTAAAGATTGTTTTTCTTTATTTCCTCTCTCCCTCTCTCCCTTCCTTCTTATCTCTTTCCTTCCTTCTTTCCTTCCTTCCTTCCTTCCTTCCTTCCTTCCTTCCTTCCTTCCTTCCTTCCTTCCCTCTTTTCTTCCTTCCTTCCTTTTCTCTGAATGTAATGGGAAATTATTCAGAAGAGTTCAGCAATGGAATGACAAGATTTAATTAGAGTTTATAAAGAATTCAAAGAGGGGCTAAAGCGAACAGAAATTGTCAGAGAAGAGCAGATAAAATTCCAGGGCATGAGGGAAGGTACCAAAAGGAAAGAAGCGAGGTGAAGTTGGCTAGAGGACAAGGCTAAGAAAAAAGCAAGAAGAATGAGGAGCTAGAGGAAAGCCATTCCCATCCCATTCTAGGAGTGAAGATTCATTTAAAGAGGATGGTGAGACATGAGGACATTTTCCATAAGAAGAGTTGAAGAATAATTAGTCAAGCCTTTGCCTAAGGTTCTTCCTTGGTCATGTTCATTGCTAATCTCTTTTATTTCTAATATTTTTTTACTTATAAATATTCACAGTGTTCTCTTGGAGTTTTCTTTTTCTTCATTCAAGAAGTTCTCAAACTTGACCATCATTAATCATTTGTTTTAAGCCAAGTTTTTTCCATTCTTCCTAGAAGTGTATTATATAAACCAACCACTCTCTCTGCCTGGCAAATCTGATAACAGGAAGTTAGTAAAGCCATCACCTTGACAATATTAGGGAAATCCAGAAAGAATGTAAAAAAGAAAATGAAGAAACTAATCTGTAATTCTTTTCTGTTTTATACAGGTCAACTGATAAATATATATGACTGTTTATCTGTCGCATAATGTATGATAAAATTGTCATTTTTATAAGTCCAAATAGAATAGTAGCTACTTCAAATGGCTCAACCTGATATTTTATCAAACACTTTAGATTTATATACACTGTGAAAATAATAACATGTCTAATATATCTGTCAAATAAATTTACTTTTTAAAATTCCAATCCCTGAGCAGAGAAAAAGGAACTTTTGCCACAGTAATTTTTTTCCATCCTAAGAACAGACTCTCATCAAGAGCATTACTAAAATTTAACCACCAGGTGGAGTTAACAAACCACTTTTTGCTCCACTGTGAAACACTTGTATAAATGAGTTCCCAGGGAATTATTGAAGAGCTCTCCTACTGAAAGAGTATTTTCCCTGATGCATGAGATATATGTCAAAATGCAGCAAGTATTTTTTAAATGATTTTAACAAATTAATTTCTTCTATTTTCCTAACTATGTGTTGCCTTTCATAGACAAATTTCAATGAAGTTGTCTTTTGCTCTCTTCTGAAGCAACCAATAGGGAGGGTTATTACCATTTTAAAAAAAAAAAAATGGAGACTCTTCTCCAGTTAATTCAGAATAAGATTACCTAGACCATTATTTTGAATAGACAATCTCAAAAAGTTTGAAGAAAATAACCTCCAGCTTCTTTTTGTTACTTGCTTCTTTTCCCTTATTCCAACCTACACTTTTATGAATTTAAATACAGTGAAAATTTGTGTGTGTTCTTTTTTTATGAAAACATATAATTTCTTATTGAACCAAAAATGTCAGAAACTAATAAGAGAAACTTTTTTTTTTTTTTTTTTTGGCACTGTATTAAACTGTTAGTGAACAGTCTATAGCCTAATGTTTAACAATTCGGTGATACAGGGGAACTCCAACCTCCTAAATTAGAAATGAAGTAATTCAATGGGGATAACTTAAAATTTATATACTGACTAACTTTTTTAAAAAAAGATTAAAATAGTGTACAATAAAAACAAGAATACAATTATTTTAAAATAAAATAATTTAAAAAATCATTCATAACGAAATGAATAACAGCACCCAGGCAACTCAGAGACCACTGCTATATGAAAAAAAAAAGTAGTTTCCCCAGTAATTTCTGATAAGAAGGAAGGGAAACGGATCTTTAGATGAAGAGGGAGAAGGGACATGAGGGACAGAAAAGTTTTCTCTTTCCTTCCAGTGCTTTTCAGTTCTTGAGGAATGACCATACAAAATAAATACAAAGAAATCCGTAGCCAGGCTCGATGGCTCAGCCTGTAATCCTGCGCTTTGGGAGGCTGAGGTGAGTGGATTGCCTGAGCCCGTGGGTTCGAGACCCACCTGGGCAACTTGGCGAGACCTCATCTCTACAATAAATCAAAAAAGAGCCGGGCGTGGTAGCGCACGCCCATAGTTCCAGCTACTTGGAAGACTGAGGTGGAAGGATCGCTGGAGCCCAGCAGGTCGAGGCTGCGGTGGCCGGGAGCCGCCACTGCACTCCAGTCTGGGCGACAGAATGAGACCCCAACGCAAAAAAAAAAAAGAAAGAAATCCGTTAAACCAGGCATTCCCAAACACTGCTCTGAGCAATGTTACTTGTGCTGCCATAGGGTTCCACAGTCAAGTAAATTTGAGAAACACTCACGCTACATTCTGAGTAGCAAGCTGAACAGTCACACTCTGAACGTCCTGAGAAGCTCTGGAGTAGGACCAGCCATTCAGCAGTGTTGAAACCAGAGTTTTCCAGACTTATTTGAAAGATAGAATATTTTCTAAATGATCCACAAATACCGGAGCATATATTTTTCTTTGCTAAGATCATGAGGACAATTGAGGCACAATTTGCTTTCTTTAACCTTGGGAATTGGCCTACTTTCATGCATTGCTATTCACTTTCCTTTCTGAAGTTTGTGGCTGTTGAATCCTTCTGTGCATTGTGACACTCACATCCACTCGTGGTGGATTGTCTCCTCCCATGTTTGTCATCTTAACTTGTGAATAGAGCTTTCTATGAGGAATTTTGATGGAGATTCCCTCTTTCTGGAATTGCCTTGTGTTTTTCTGTGTCAGGCTCCTCAGAAGTTAAACCAAAAACTATTTTTAATGTTTGCTTCTGTGCTTTAAAGGCCTGATTCCTGTCCCAGGCAAGTAATGTAAATTTTCATGTCAAATCCAAATGAAGGTCTTTGTTAGATTTTCAGGGAGAGTCTAGCTTTCGTGTTTCGAACTTTTTAGTTTTCCACTACTATGTAGAAGACCTCAATTCCAACTCTCTGGCTTATTCATGCCCATGTTTTTCTTTGGGAGGAAAAAAGTCTCTATTTCTTTTTTCTTTTTTTTTTTTTTTGAGTTGGAGTCTCACTCTGTCGCCCAGACTGGAGGGCAGTAGCCGCTCCCGGCCACCGCAGCCTCGACCTGCTGGGCTCCGGAGATCCTTCTGCCTCTCAGCCTTCCAAGTAGCTGGAACTACAGGTGCGCACTACCATGCCTGGCTAATTTTTTTATTTATTGTACAGATGAAGTCTCGCCAAGTTGCCCAGGTGGTCTCGAACTTGCGGGCTCAGGCAATTCACTCACCTCAGCCTCCCAAAGCGCGGGATTACAGGCTGAGCCACGGAGCCTGGATTGAGCCACTAAGCCCGGCTTCTATTTCTTATTAACATTTGTAATTCTCCCTCTTACCTGTAGCTTTTTCTGCATTTTTTTTTTTTGGATCCCTGAAGATGCCCTTATTTTCTTTGCAAGCTAAGCTATGCATATGAAATTCAGGGCCAACCCACTAAGCACCCTGTCATGAAATCTGGCAACTCTGTAAGCTATATCGCATCAATGCAGTACCCAGAATTACAGCTCTTTGTTAGATGTCATAGAAAAGGAAAAGGCACAAATAGTGTTCCTGTCAACAAAGACCTCACCGCCTCATAGCTCAGAAGGCTTTCCTGGGACATATAATATAGATTAAGCTTTGCACAGCTCTTCTAGAAATCTAAAAAACCTAATTGCCCTATTAACCCACCATCTCGTTAGCCCTGCCCAGTATGTCAAAGGACGCAAGGAAATCAACATTTTTCTGCATGAAATGGTGACTTATAGAAAGCTACCTCCATATTTGACCCTGTAAATCCATTAAAAACCTGGGGACCTGCCAGAAAGTGCCTTTACACTTGGCTTTATATTAGCTTTCGTGACTTCCCTGTAATGAATTGTAGCTTGCTTGAGTCATTAGGAAGATTCTGACAAGGAATCAGCTGGAATCTGCTGTTCTTTGAAGGACTCAATTTATCCACGATTCAGTGCCTAACCAGTCAAAAAACTCGAAGGGGTCAGTCAGGGAACACAGTCCCTAATTCTTACTTTAATTAAAATGCAAGCATGTGCATTGACTTTTAATATATGCATCAGGTAAATGTAAGACAACAAAATAACTACTTTTCTTGCCACCTTTTGCTCATTCGTTATTCAGCATTCCAGGCAAGGGTTAATTAAAAGCTTCTGTTTGTTGGCTCTTTGGCTGAATCACAGGCCTGAATTGACAGATTGAAGCTGTACTTTAGCAAGATTACATTATGTCTCTGTTAGAGATGGCAACCAATAAAATCGTATAGTGCTAAGTAATGCTAAGCTATTAACTTAAATCTTTTAACCTTATTATAGTTTTATATTCTGTGTTTTCTAAATGTCTGAATGTCTTGTTCTGCTTTAAAATATGTTTTTTCTTAGCTCATTTTTATATTTTTCTTCCTAGCTTATTAATGTGGCCTTAGGCAAATGCATTTCCATTGAAAACACTACAACCATTCTGGAAGACTGCGACGGGAGCAGCAAGGTATTCTAAACTGGGGTTTTCTAGCACATGGAAATTGATAGGTACAGAGTATGACACTTTCAGTGCTCAATTGAGAAATTCCTCTTTGTTCAATAGAGAAACATAATTTATAAACATCTTTGTACCCATAAGGGCAGTGATAAGAGGGTCCACCACTAAATGCAAAAAATAGTGACTAAAGGAATAAAGGTATGGGTCCTGAGGTCAACCAACTGCATACAGGATGGATCCAGTCCTGGATCCATCACTTGCAAAAATGTGTCAGCTTTTGTGAATTCCTTAACCTTTGAGGAAAAGGAAAATGATTTGAGTAACTACCTCTAGAACTGGTATGAGACTGGATTAGGTGATACACATGAAGCACATAGAAAAATACTAATACTTAGTGTCCTATACAGTTTTGCAGAGATAATAATAAAGACAAAGATATGAAAAAGGCAGAACATAACAAAATAAAAATAATAAAGAAACAAAAAGAGAACATATTTCTAAACAATAATTTTTTTTTTTTTTTTTGAGTTGGAGTTTCACTCTTTTGCTCAGACTGGAGTGCAGTGGCCGCTCCCGGCCACCACAGCCTCAACCTGCTGGGCTCCGGAGATCCTTCTGCCTCAGCCTTCCAGTTAGCTAGAACTACAGGCATGCGCTACCACGCCCAGCTCACTTTTGATTTATTGTAGAGACGAGGTTTCCCCAAGTTGCCCAGGCGGGTCTTGAACCCACGGGCTCAGGCAATCCACTCGCGTCGGCCTCCCAAAGTGCTAGGATTTTTTTTTTTTTTTTTTTGAGTTGGAGTCTCACTCTGTCGCTCAGACTGGAGTGCAGTGGCCGCTCCCGGCCACCACAGCCTCGACCTACTGGGCTCCGGTGATCCTTCCACTTCAGCCTTCCAAGTAGCCGGAATTACAGGCATGTGCTACCACACCCAGCTGACTTTTTGATTTATTGTAGAGATGAGGTCTCGCTGCCCAGGCGGGTCTCGAACCCGTGGGCTCAGGCAATCCACTCACCTCAGCCTCCAAAGGCGCGGGATTACAGGCTGAGCCGCCGAGCCCGGCCTCTAAACAATCATTCTAAGGGAGCAATCTTAATCTCTGATTCCATCACCCTTTTTATTTCTTTGTCTTGCATCTTATTGGAAACCACATAATCCATGATCCAGAGTGGGAAACCTACCCAAACTCATAGCACAATGTTAGGAGAGAAAGTAGGGTCAGCGAGTACAGAACAGGGACTTCTTCCATATGCTGGAGGTGAAATCTGAGTGATCCCACTTCCCTCTCTAACATAAGTTTCCTAGCAGTTCTACGTTCTGTGGAAGCAGTTATCTGATTTGGCTGTCAACTAGGACTCACAAGAACATTGCTTCTTGAGTAGAAATCAGCCCCACAAAATTGCAGATTATTCTTGGTAGAGAAATTATTTTGACAGTGATAATCTAGGATTGCCAAGTCTTACGTCTTTCCTTTGACTTAGAGATACTGGTTTTTTAGTACATCCCATCTCTACCTTTTAATGCAAAGCACTATTGGAAGAAAGGGCACCTGTGTTGCTATAATTCAGCTATGAATTGTGAACCTAAAGCCAAGGTAACTCTTTCTTGATTAGGAAAGAGAGGGAAGTGAAAAGTGTAAGAAAAAAATCAATTGAAAGAAATAACTTTCACTTATTACCAATTCAAAGAGTGAATAAAGCCACAAATTGTAAAATAAAATCACAATTAGTCTAAATTGTATGAAAGGAATGTATTAAATAATACAGTACTTCAAGACTCATTATTATACGAATTTCTTGTGCCCGCGTAAGCAGTATTTCATGTGAAAACCCAGTCCTGTTTGTAATAACCTTTGAGTGCCTCTAGGGTTTAGTAGGAGGCAAAAGTATAAATTATGGAGCTTCTGCCTTCCAGAAAGTCCCATCTCCTTTTTCATTTTGTTGATCCATTTTTAGCTTCTGCCTCTGTGGTTTGTTTGAGAAATAAAAATAGAGAAACATGGTGAAACTTAACTTGTTTTGACAGAGCTAATGAGATTTAATACCAAGCCAGTGACTACAGCATTCATCCAAAAAAAGCTCAGAAGGAATAAAACCCTTAGATTGAACCATCAAGTCCTATCCCTTCCTTTACCTAAAAAAATGTTCTTAGTTATTAACTTTTAAACCAATCAATATGTCTTTTTTAAGGTAATATCTCCTTATATTATGCCATATAGCCATGCTTCTCAAATTTTAATGTACATACAGATCACCTAAAGAGTTTGTTACAATGCAGATTCTGAATCAGTAGATCCATGACATGGCTAAGATTCAGCATTTCTAACTAGCTTCCACATGATGCTAATTTTGGTCCAGGGACTAGCCTTTGAGAGGCCAGGTCTAACATATGTTTTAGTTTTAACTTGATAATAAAAGTGAAACCTCAGTTGTAATACAAATGATTCATTAGGTAAAGATATTTAAATAGATTTTATCCGTAGTCTATTTTTTTCAAATATGTTTATATTAGTACAAAACAGAACATTTCCCAGACCCAGAACCTTGGAATAAATTGACCAGGCAGATAATACAAGGTTGAAAACAAATTAGAGAAGATATTTTCTAAGGATCAAAAACATGATTCTATTGCCCAGATCAGTATTTATTTTAGACACTGGCAATTCTCTGAAACTAGACTTCTCCAAGAGCAGGTTTTATGAACTGGGGGATGCTAACTGGTGGTAACCTGATGATTCCTTGTGCTGAGCAAAGAAAGAGTTTAACCTTCCTACAATGTAACAGAGCCTCAAGGAGTTACAAGTGTCTAGATTGTCTTAAACAAAAAAAACATAGTCTTCCACCACAGAAATTTAGGACTGCGGCTGGGATCTCCCGGTAGCCAGCCATGGCAGGATCTTTAATTATGTGGTAGTTTGAACATTCCATACTTTAAGCACCAGGCTTGTCTGGGACTCAAAACACCTGAAATTACATCCATATGCAGATATATACTAACTGTACATATTATAATAATTGTTATTATTGCAACTAACATTTATTGAGGGCTTACTGTATACTAAACACATGTTACCCCAATTCTCTGAGATAGGTATGATTGCTATACACCTTAAAAATGATGCTAGTCAGGATAAAGAATATGCCTATATTATTAGAATTAAAAGTGATAGTACCAAGACGTGAATATAAAATGTCAGATCAAAGTGCCTATATTCTTAACCACCACTAAAAATATGTTTGACAAAGCCCTGCTGTATGCTGCCTGTAGTGACCTCTTTATTCATTTTCCCCACAGCTTCAGCAATTTAATTATACCTGGTTAAGACTTATTAAACATGGAGAATGGTGCTTAGCCCCCATCCCTGAGAAAGGGGACCTGAGGCTGCATCTTTGTGATAACAGAAACAAAGGGCTAAAATGGCTGCATAAATCAACATCAGTCTTTCACCCAGAACTGGTAAGCAAAATATCTGTACCTCTTCTCTATCACAAATTCAACTGTCAAGCAAATGGAACATAAAATCCTCATTGTCAGCTTTCTCAATCAGAAGCTTTAAATGTGTTTGTGAAAATAGAGGTAAGCCAGGCTCTGTGGCTCAGCCTGTAATCCCTCGCTTGGGGAGGCTGAGGTGAGTGGATTGCTTGAGCCCACGGGTTCGAGACCCGCCTGGGCAACTTGGTGAGACCTCATCTCTACAATAAATCAAAAATTATCTGGGCGTGGTAGTGTGCGCCTGTAGTTCCAGCTATTCGGAAGGCTGAGGCGGAAGGATCGCTGGAGCCCAGCAGGTCGAGGCTGCGGTGGCCAGGAGCGGCTACTGCACTCTAGTCTGGGCGACAGAGTGAGACTTCAACTCAAAAAAAGATAAAAAGAAAAAGAAAGTAGAGGTAATGTAAAAATTTACTCAGAGAGAGAAACATTTTTGGTAAACTGTCAATTTTTTTTTCTTTTTCAAAATTTGTTTCAGTTGACTAATTTTAAATAGAAGTCACCAGTTTCTTATGATCACCTTGCTGTCATTTGTTTAGGTCAATTAAGAATGCCAAAGTAAGGCTTATAGACTAGAATTGGTCCTTAACGGTTACCAGAAAAATGTATAGGAGAGTATACTGGGAACACAGGAAGCAGCCTGCACTTTAGTTTCCAGTTTCTCATTCTGTCCCTCTTCCTTGATAAGATACATTTTCTCATCCCCTGTAGTTCTCAGTCCTGGGTATGCTGGACCTAGCTCTCACCAGCTTACAGGAGCTATTGTGTGCATCTTGCCAACTTTACGTTTAGTGACACCACAGTGGTAGCTTTAACCAGCCTTATTAGGAGTATTTACACCACAGAAATCAGCAGATGCTACTTAATCAGGTGTATATTTCCAGAGATACACTTGTTAATATTTACCTGGATACCTCTATTCTGTTAAATTTATTCTCAAAATCTTCTTCATTTTTCCAAATGATATTTTAACAGAATACAAAGTCATATGCTTTCATGTAGGATCTTGGGGTAGCAAAAATAATCTCAGAACTGCCTTCTTAAATTTTCTATCATCTCGCTAGCAGGTAGCCATCAAATCTACTACATGTATTGGGAATGTGGTGATCATTATTTTGCCCAGGGCTGGCCCCAAAGTAAGCACCCTTTTAACCTTGGCATGCCTCCATTCCTTTCAATATCATAGCCAGTGACTATTCTCTTAAGACATTTTTTCTTCCTGCTCAGAGTCAAAATCAGAACATCAGCAAAGCATTCTCAATCATCCTCTTGTTAGATTTTCTCTGTTCTATTTCAATTCCTTCTGGACATTTTTTTCTCTTTAGTGAGAATGATTATTATTGCATTATTCAGAAAAATTAGGGATTGCTGGTACATAAACTGTTGGGAAAATCCATAAGAATTTATTGAATATATCACATCTTACCTTCCCCTTCCTTGTGTTTAAGGAGGGAGAGAAAAAGTGAGAGATACGAGAGAGAGAGAAAGAACATGAATGAGAAGTAAAACATATTCTTCTCCAGAAGTGAATCTTGGAAAAGATATCAAGGTGGTGAGACAATATTTAGGAGACAGATTCCCATAAGCAATAAGTTGATTTGGCAAAGAAGGTAATTTCAGATAGTAAAAACTGGAAAGCCTTTTTCCTGCCTTGTTTACCACTATGACGTTGTCACATGTTACAAGGCTGCCTTCTGCCTTGGGTTTGCCCTTTGAACCTACTAGACAACATGGAGATGAATAGCTTGATGGTCACCTTTCTTATTTTACTAGTTTTTGGATAGTTTTCATACTAAACCTTCTATGTTCCCCCACTCCCCACCCCCTACTCCCCAACCCAAGACATGCAAATCTTAAAGAAGAGAATGAAACTTCTTTACAAGACCTTGAGCATACTCAAGCATCATATTCCCAAAGTCCTGTAAGAGTGACTATATTTCTGTAGGAGCATCTTTAAAATAAATTATTATGTATGTCATCTGTTTGATAATTTTTAAGTGTTTCAAAACATAATAACATTATAATTAAGATTGTCTATCATATTCATTAGTAATTGAGAGGATTTATGGTGAAAAAATATAAAGTCATGAGTATGTTCTAAGTAGATTATCTACCATTTCTAGGTTACTCAATAAATATTAAGCAATAATAGAACTCTTTTTAATAGTATTGAATTTTTTCTAAACTGAATTGTGGGTATCATGCATTATATACTTTCAGAGATTGTGTTAAGGCATTCATAAATAAAATACATCATTTCTAGCATTGTATAGTTCAAATGTGGATTATTAATCCATCTAAGACAGGGATTTAAAAAGTTAACTAACTCACTTTTTGTCATGGTATGTATTTTTTCTTTACCATCAATGAGGTAGCCACCATCCATCAAATATAATAGATGTCATCTGAAATGCTTTCCCTTTAAAAAATATAATTCTCAATTATATCATCACAGAAATCATATTTTGCTTCCTGAGGGATTAATAGTCTTATAGCTAAGAGAAGTATGATAACTTAGTTTGAGACAAAAACAAATTCAGTACCTGCCAACATCTATGTTTATGTTATTTATTTCAGAATAAGTACTACAAAATCAAAAATATAATTGTCTATCAATGTTTTATTGGTTTTTATGACTTTGTCTCTGAGTTATCAAATTCAGTCTGTGGCTCATTCTCAGATCCTCTTTCTCTCCAGGTGAATCACATTGTTTTTGAAAACAATCATCTGTTGTTATGCTTAGAAGGAAATTTTTCTCAGAAGACTCTGAAAGTAGCTGCTTGTGACCCAGGGAAGCCATACCAAAAGTGGAAATTTGAAAAATATTATGAAGCCTGAAGTGGAATTGATGTTTTTATCTAGTAACCCCATTAAATACTGTGAAAATAACAGTGAACTTGCTGACTGTATTTCTCAGTCATAGTTTAAGTATTCCATTTTCATAGCATTTATATGGAAGATTTTTATAAATCACAATATTTGGAACAACAGATATCTCAGGGAAACAGTCCAACACTGGACTGGAGTCCTTCTGCAGCACTGGGTCCCCTTTGAATTGCCTGTTTTCCAACCTGTACTAGAACTCATCCTGCAAGTTTCCCCATGCAAGCTAACAGGTAACCAGATATGAAGACAGGACTTGGGGAAGAACGATAATATTCCTGATGACTGTGTTTGATAATAGCCAACTATTTTGGCCCACAGGTAGGTATGATCACGAGAACCTAGTCCTTCATTTGCTATTTTATTTCCATCAAACAAAAACTGCTTGAGTTCTTATGACTAGAAGACCTCAGCTATCCACAGTTATCACCTTGGTGAAAGCCTCCAAACTATATGCATGTTTACCTAACAGTTTGAAATAGTATTGGTCTACTACTGATGAACCTATTTGATGGCAGTGTTTCTATCTAAGTTACATAAAGTTTCCCAGTCTGAGTCAGTGGAAAACTTTTTTTTTTTTTTTTTTTTTTGAGTTAAAGTCTCACTCTGTCGCCCAGACTGGAGTGCAGTGGCCGCTCCTGGCCACCGCAGCCTTGACCTGCTGGGCTCCGGCGTTCCTTCCACCTCAGCCTTCCAAGTAGCTGGAACTACAGTTGCGCACTACCATGCCCAGCTAATTTTTTGATTTATTGTAGGGATGAGGTCTCGCCAAGTTGCCCAGGCGGGTCTCGAACCCGTGGGCTCAGGCAATCCACTCACCTCAGCCTCCCAAAGCGCAGGATTACAAGCTGAGCCACTGAGCCCGGCTAGTGGAAAACTTTTTAAGTGAGGTTGAGGAGACCTTCAAAACTTGATCTAATTAGAGGCATAAACATTGTTTCAGCTCATTTTGCTCTTTTAAAACTACAATTTTAAAAGTTGCTTATATCAATAACTTCTCAGACTTAGGTGATTTTTTTTTATAAAGGCAACAGAAAAGAGGCTGGGTCATAATGCATTGTAGTAACCAAAAATACATTTATGCACTGAACTCACTCTAATGCAAAACCAAATGAGAGGAATTGAAATGGATAAAGCAGAAATAGAGACTCTGAATGTTTCTTTTATATGAAGACAATAAAACAGTACTTTATGTCTAACAGCATTCACAAAAGTAAAATATGCTAAAAATGGTCTCTAAAAGATTTTAAGTATAAGTAAAGTGAAATAAACACAATGAAAGGTGAATAGAATGAGATAAAAAACTCTTAGCAAGAAAGTTAAGATTTAGCCAAAGTAGAAAGGGGATCTGGGTATGAGCAGAAGAATGTGAGAGGTGATAGTAAAACCCTCAATGTGCACCCAATGATGACACTGACAATTTGGGGGGGAAGTTAAATGTTCTTGGATTCAAATAGAGTCTCTAATCTTAAGTATACCAGTACTTAGGCATAGCAGAGGAGAGCTTAGAAATCAGGATATGTTTTACCTTCATTTTGATATAAAAATGTATGTCCAGAAGACAAATTTTCTCTCTAGAAATCCCAGACCAGTTTGTCAAAGAGTCAGGATTAGAATTCGGATTTCTAGACAGGGCTCATTCTACTGCCTTAGGTCACTGGCCTAAACATATCTGATCCACATCATTCCCTATAGAAAGAAAGACTAAAACTTCTTCAGTGGGGTTGGGTCCCTGGAGGACAGCCATACTATATTCTTGTTAATAATATTTAAATGCTTTTTTTAACTTTTGTTCAGTTGAAATAATGGTGAAACTAGTTATCTTTAGTTCTGACTTTCTGTTTAACATTTAACTCCTAACTAATTACACAAAAGCAAAGCTGTAACTTAAGGATGAGCAGAGGAAATATTTTTGCACATTTGTAACTATTTAAGATGTTTTATTCAAATAATTGACAACTGTGAATGAGGTAAGAGAGTGACTAGGAAATGAAATACGGTCATGCCATAATGATATTTTAGTCAATGGTGAAGCACATATATAACTGTCTCATATGACTATAATGTATATTTTTACTGTAACTTTTCTATGTTTAGATACACAAATACTTACCACTGTGTTACAATTTTCTACAGTATTCAGTACAGTAATATGCTGTACATATTTGTAAGGGAGGAATGGGAAATATTATATAGCCTAGGTGTGGGGTAGGCAGTACCATCTAGGTTTGTGTAAGTACACTCTGATATTCAAGCAATGATGACATTGCCTAATGATATTTATCAGAATGTATGCCCATCGTTAAATGACACATGACTGTAATTATTTTCTAAACAAAGCCATATGGGGCAGGCGGGGGGACACAAGTCAGTTGCCAAAAAACTGAGTTATCACACTGGATGTGCTGGATGTCTCATGCAAATCTTCATGTAACTAAAATGTTGAAAGGTTATTTTCCCCCAGTATATAGACTCTTTTTATCAAAAAATAATTTTCACAAAGAAATCAACTCTGTCCAGGAAAAGATGAATTATGTTTTGGATATACTTACCTTTGGGTATACCAACTACAGAAAGTTGAATGTTTTTTCAGCAGAACCTTCTATAGTCTTCTCAGTGTATGCTCTTCCTGACTTTGCCTTGACATATGTATTGTATACAACTATATTTAAATCTATATTGTTAATATAGCAAAGGATTGCTTACAAATATCACATATTTGTTCTTGGGTAGAATTTTTAAAACTACTTTTGCCATGCATTGGCTCAGTTTCTTTAAGAAACAAGGAGCTAATCACAAATTAGAAACCTCTATGATCCTAACCCTGAGCATAATGACTTATTGTGAAATCTACTTCCAATATTTTCTTAAGAATGCCCCCTCTAAATTGTGCTTTTAAAAGATTGTAATAAGCCAGGAACGGTGGCTCACACCTGTAATCCCAGCACTTTGGGAGGCAGAGGCAAGAGGATCGCCTGAACTCAGGGGTTCAAGACCAGCCTGAGCAACATGGTGAGACCTCAACTCTACAATAAGTCATAAAATTAGCCAGGCATGGTGGTGCAAACCTGTAGTTCCAGCTATTTGGAAGGTTGAGACAGAAGGATCACCTGAGCCTAGCAGGTCGAGGTTGCAGTGGCCGTGAGAGTGCCAATGCACTCTAACCTGGGCGACAGAGTGAGACTCTGACACGGGGGGGGAAAAAAGACTGTAATAAAAGTATCATGCAGCCGGGCTTGGTGGCTCAGCCTGTAATCCCGCGCCTTTGGAGGCTGAAGTGAGTGGACTGCCTGAGCCTGCGGGTTCAAGACCCGCCTGGGCAGCGAGACCTCATCTCTACAATAAATCAAAAAATCAGCTGGGCATGGTAGCGCATGCCTGTAATTCCAGCTACTTGGAAGGCTGAGGCGGAAGGATCGCCAGAGCCCAGCAGGTGGAGGCTGCGGTGGCCGGGTACGGCCACTGCACTCCAGTCTGGGCGACAGAGTGAGACTCCAACTCAAAAAGCAAAACAAAAAAAAAGGTATCATGCTAATAGATCTTTTGGTACTTCTAAAGATGAATCTTTGGATGGGACACATTAGGGATGGTACACATTAGAATGCCAATCAGTCCTGAATTCTTCAATAAGGGGCTGTGTTATTGGGAGCTCTAGATTTTTCCCTGGATTGGCTTAGGTTATTGCTTTTTCTTAGGAAAAATGTCTATATATCTTGTTATCTTGAACACAGGGCAGTCTTGATCATATTTGACAGGACTAAGTTACCAACCCATTTAAGTGCTTCTGAGACTTTGCACAATTCCTTTCTCTTTTTTCAAGAGTTCCCCAGAGCTTCCACCCTACTCGCTTGTAAGATGACATAGCTATTGATAGTTCAACCATGTTTTATCACCAATATCAAATCTGACCAATCTGTTTGCTGACATTCCATCAGCTGTCATTCACAACAAACCACCATGTGCCATGATCACAATGTATTGTTAGTTTTACCATAGTCATTTGGAAACATTCTCTTAGATATTAAAACACCTTGGTGCTAGCATCATCTTAGGGATTGTGATGGGAAAAGACACTGTTTACAGTGTACAGGAATTCAATATTCAGTCAACTTTGATTTTATGAATAACTTAGAATGATTTTCAGTGAAAGAGAATGAGGTTGGAACTCACCAGATAGTACCATATTTATTTATTCTAACATCTTTGACAATCCATATTTAGAATACAAGAAAAAAAATAATAACTCAGAAGACCTCAACATCTTGAATAAAAACAAAGAAATTACAAGAGATGGTGGGGAAAAGGAGAGGAACGAATTGCCACTGAGTACTTACTATGTTCTAGGCACTGATGTTTGCAACTCAGTGAGGTGGGTCTCATTCTTGCCATTATGCAATTGAGGATGATTTCTCAATAATGGTACACTTTCCAAGGTCATGTCGCTGGTAAGAGAGAAAACCCAGTTGCCATTTTTGTCTGACTCAAAAAAAAAAAAGTTTCTTTCACTACCCTATGCTGCTATAATTCATTTTATTTCTTAATAGGGCAGTCAACTCAGGTGGGCCCATCTAAAATCCCTTGGTTACAGATTAGTGATGCCACAGTAATGGAATGAGATGAAGTCAAACCTCTTTGGTCTCTTTTGAATGTTGTATATACAGAAAATAGAAGTCAGGCCTCTCTCTTTTTTAAACCCCTGATATATAGGTGTAAGCATGGCTGCTCCACACATGTTTTGCTATGATTTGTTTCTTAGACTTCATGCAGGACCTGTCCTTTTCCATCTCCTGGACCAAATGTGAGAGAAGTGGGCATGTAGTGTGTTGTTTCTCTGTGAATAATAGTTCTAACTCTTTCTTCCCCAACCTTAAAACTGACAGACTGTTTAATTTGAATAGAGAAGAAAAGCAAAAAAATGGAAGATTCCTTTAATGTAAGACACAAACCATGATTTTACCATCACTCAATATGTAGATCGTCACTACTGTGCTTTGGGACAACTTTTGCATACATTACTCAACAATTGCTATAAACCCAAATGTCTCACAATTAGAAAAGAAACACTACCCAAATCTATTGTACAAAATATTTATTTGTTGACAAATAGCCATTCCTAGGACAGGTTCAAATAAGCCATATCATGTATTATATAACCCTGATGAGGGTTAATGAATGGAATTGGTGGTTGTACCCCTGTCAAAAAGAAAAAAATAATAATGTCACACAAAGCAGATTTAATGCCTCTGTTTTCAACCCAATGGACCAATTAATAGTTACCATTCCAATTAGGGTCCTTTTGTAAGTTTATGTGAATCTTTGCTTTACAACAAAACAAAACAAAAAAAACAAGTTAAAATTCTCATTTTCCAGCAAATAGAGCAACTTCTAAAATGCTAAGTTTCTAATGGTGTAAGTTGCCATCAAATAGTATCAAATAATTTCTTTTAAAAAACAAAGGCTATTTTTTATTACTGATTAGAAATATTTGCCAGGTTAAGGATATTGTTCATAAGTATCTATATAATTAAAATCTTAATATTAGATTAAAAATTTTGATAACATTAATAGCTCTTTACCATTCAAAAGCATGTCAATTTTTGTAAATATATAGTATACATATATACATATATGTGTATGTATATATATACACATATGTGTATATAAAAATATAATTGGATGCTTTCAATTGGAAGAAATAGCAATCAAGATTTTCTACTTGCAATATAAAGAAAATTGAGAAATGTTTTTGAATATGTTTAACTCTCCTTTAGGTGTATAGCTTTGTCTGTATCTGGCCTTCTGCACGAAAGTATCTTAAGTGGATTTTTACTCTGGACAACTTCTCAGACTTGAAGGAATAATCAAACTCTAGATTATTAGTGTGGCTATTATTCAGTTTAAGATTGTGCATATGTCTTAATTCTTCTCCTTCAAACAACTGCCCAGATTTCGATAGTTTTACACATAAAAAACAAGAGAGGACAAAGATTAAGTTAGTGAATTTTGTTATTGATTATCTGAAAATGTTTTTTAGTGGGAGAATAAGACTAAAACTTTGAAGTATAGAGGATTTTGGAGTTAAACATTTTTAAACTTACATTTTTTTTCTGTCTCTGACCAACTAAAGTTAGTATAAAGAAGGAATTAAGTATACAACTTTAAATTTCCAGGAGAAATTACTTTCCAAATTTATTTCCACAGTTCTCCTCAACTGGCAGTTAGTTCCTAGATGTCATCATTTGATTCTGTACCTTGCCATGCATCTGAGTGAGCTCAGCTGCTTATTACCACCCAAGCCATTGTGTTTGTGTTAATTGTATGGCTCTGCGTCTCATCTTCTTCATGAGCTATGTACACATTTTGGTCTTCACATTTATTGTGTTATGTTTCTGTCTAATATTTCAATATTGGCAAATATAATTTTTTCCATTGTCTTTTATAGTCCTCTTGCTTTTATAGAGCAATGGAATTTCAAGCCTTAAGGGAAGTGATTGCCTTTCTCATATGGTCATACATATTTCTTCTTTATTATATTCTGGTGTTTCATCCTTCCCCATAATTTTCTATTATTACTTATTTTAAATGTCTTCCCTATCACTTTGAAAAACTTAAATGTCCATTCTCCATTTGAAAATGTGCCAAAAGTACTGTCCCATGTAAATATGCAAAAACAATTACTATAAAAGTGTCAGCATAGTTTAAATGTATTACTTTGATGATGCCAAGTCTATTTTTTTCAAGATGCATCTAAAACAATATCTGTTTATTTTAAAGCAGTAGAAAATTTTCAAGCATTATCACATATCTTCCTACCAAAAATTTTTCTTGCAATTTTATATACAAGAATTTTAACACCTTTTTAAAATAAATAATGCAAATGAATTAAAATAAGGTGTTCTCTTGATTTCTGATGAGACATTTATTGATGATCTTAGTAGCTGCTGGTATACAAGAGTTCTTTTAAATTTTAAAAGGTGGCTAAAGGAAATAAAGTCTTGAAACCAGATATAAAGACACAAACTTTTATTGAGAGCAAGTCAGACACAGTTTTTTATTTTTTTAATGATAGATAGATAGATAGATAGATAGATAGATAGATAGATAGATAGATAGATGATAGATTATGGCAAATTCTGTGCCTTCAACTGCAGCATTATATGAAAGTCAATTTTATATTGACAGAGAAGTAGCGCTATTATTAATTCCTGTACATCCAATAACAAAGGAAAACAAATATCAGCATTTGCACAAAAAAATGAACTCTCCTTCCTATCTGGTACCAGAGATTTTACCACCACTGAACCTCAAATCACAAAAGCTCAGGTAAACCTTCATGTGTGCTTACCAGTTGCTTTCTTAATCATGTCCCATATAAGTTTCATGTATGTTAAATTTCCTCCATATAATATGAATCAGACTATTGTCTTTCCTAGGTTACAAAAACTCAAATGGCCAACCATCATCATCATCATGTTGCTTAAGGTCACTTAACTCTGCAGCTTTGGTGTAAGATGGACACCAATGCCAAAGAATAGTGCCGGTGCTCTATTGTAACTGCATTGTCTCACTCGTGAACATGAAGCATTTACCAACTGAACATACTCATATAGTGTCTGTTGACAAAATCTTTCATAGTTGGTTAATTGGTGAGAGCACAGGACTGAAAGACCAGGGTTACTATATATTTGAGCCCCATAAGATCTGGTTGCTTTGCCTTGTCACATAGCCATAGATTACCTGCCTCACTTAACTTCTACAGGAATTCATCATCTCTGTTGGAGTAACTCAAATTTCAGGCTCTTGAAGGTAGGTTAACAATATGATCCTGTTACATGAAAAAGAACACAATACCTTGCTTTGAAGTTAAGTAGAAAATTGTAGGGGTTATCAGTAATTCAGAAAAGAAAAGATGTTGCCCAGGTAGAAAGACTTAGAGGATCTAAATCAAACAGGATCTTTTCCTAGTGCATCAATCTTCTCCCTAACTTTATCGGTAAAGACCTGATTTGCATTGCTTTACTTCTTGACTTTATTTGTGACTCACATTGCTACAAATGAAATCTATAGGTTGTATAGATTGAGGGTAACATAACTTATTTATTTATTTAAAAGATGTGGGGTACAATTCAGGATTAGGTAAACAAGTGGTCATTGAACAGGTAAAGTCTAGGTCTGACTTTGAACCCCACTTCACCCAACATAATTTTTATATGGTCAGCCTTTGAAGTATCTGTTTGAAAAAGTAAAAAGAGCACTTCAATTCTGCATTCAAATTTTATCTTGTAAACACTAAGATTATATGATACCATGAAAATATATTATATGACCACAATTAAAGAAGTTATCATTAAAGAAGTTATGATGGGGAGTTTTCTACACATAAATATGCAATAATCTAAGGACTAACCCAGAGTTTTTCACAAAATGAAAAAGAAAGAAACAAAGGGTTGAATAGTACAATGAAGACTGTATTACATTCAGACAATAAGGAATTGTCTTTTTATTTTCAGGGCCAAAAAAACAATCTTTATCTGTAATGACAGAAAGTTCAGAGTAATATATACGGAAGCATGAAATGAAAAATTGTGGAACAAACTATCTAAGAATATAAATATAGAGTGTCTCTTTTCATAAATATTCAATACATTATTTGACACATTGGTTTGAGTGAAGCTCCACAGTACAATTTTAAGCATCTTGATTTGGGCTGAGGTCCAGTAAATTATATATTCTCAACAACCATCAGAGCTTTCTCACTAAAAATACATGCTCACACTCTACTTTGAAAATATTCTAAGATAATTATTTCCATTTTCATAGTAACTAGTACAGTTATGACTAGCGTTGTCTCAGGTTTCTAAGGAAAGAAAATTATTCTGAGAAACTGTTAATAAGAGAAAATGTGGTAATAGAGAAGGGCATTTTCTTAAAATTGTGCTAAAGCTGTCATTTTTATTTTTAATGACTTTAACTGTGCTAGACAAGATTTTATTTTCAGTCACAGAAATAAAACTATCCAACATAACTCTTTAGTCTATTGCCCACCAATCTTCTAGCCCCTCCCTATGTCAACCTCACAATGGGTGTAATTCAGTTGGAAAGCATAAAGCCAACATTTAGCCAACAGAATTCTCCTGACTGACAATTGCTCAGCCCCTTTAGTGAGAAGATTCACTGAATGGTCACACCTAGGAAGGAAGCCTATAGAATTTTCGCTCTGTAGATGACAAGGACAACCATGAAGATCTTTTTTTTGGTGATAATAGTACAGGCAAAGAATGTTGGAAGGTCCATTGCCAGAGTTTATAAAACCATGCTTAAAAGTATGAGAGGTTTAATACCAGACTTTTCATCACCTTAATGTACAGGAAGAAAGACACCAAAAGAAATATAGAAATCATTTCAAATAGTCCCCTTTCTCATTTGATGACCACCTTTCCAAGCATTGCTACTCATAAAGCCAAATCATGCCAGAGAGTGGCTGCTTGGTTCTTATCATATAATACTATATTAGTGCAGTTTTAAAGAGTAAACATCCAAGAATGAATCTAAAGCTTTTTGATTTGAGGTTACCAGAATGAATTTTGTGTAGGGTTAATCCCACATTATTCTACAGTGAAAATGGGAATAAGCTTCCATGTCTTTGAAGGGAACAACTCAATGATGACATAAAAATATGCATCCTACAACAATAGAATTAGCTTTTGCTTTAGTGGGCATGGGAATTTCTCCATTCCAGTTAGTTTATAAATGCATCATAGACTCGAATTCATCAATTCTTTGCTTGGTGTTCCCCTTCCTGATTTTCCGATAGGATATTGTATTGTATCTTGAATACGTACTTCTGGCGATATCACTCTTCTTCTCTAAGGCTGGCTGCTCATCTGGTGTCACAGGCTGGGAACTGGCACTGCTCAGTGGGGAGTCCTCATTTGCATCACCTTCCTCTTTTAATTGAGAACCCTCTTCATGTTTTTTCTTAAATTCTATCACTCGAACTTCATCTTCATCATCATTGCAATCATCATCATTATTAATTTCTTCATCCCAAACCTCTTGCGCCTCATCATGTTTAGAATGCAACATGTCAACTTTGCTAGGCTTTCGAAATCCCAACCATTCGATTTCAGCTGCCTGGTAAGCCTCGTTCTTCCTATCCTCATCTTCCCTCTCTTCTAGAGGTTGTTCAGCAATCCTTTCCTTCTGTCTGCTTATTTCCTGGTTACTGCTGCTCAGAGGAATCTTCTCCCATTGATGCCCTGTAGCAAAATCAATTGGTAGATGAAATGGGTAGGCGTTCCAAAATACCCAGCTATTATTCTGTTATTCTCCAAATTATTTTTCTTGCCAATCTCTTCCCAACATGTGTTTTATGGAAGAGAATTCTGTGGGTTACTAATATATTTTGCACAATCAAATGTGCTACACAGTCAAATTAGTTTGGAAAACACTGCATTAAATACAGTTAAATAAGCTTCTTCAGAATTTTTCCAAGCTTTTAAAATGCGAATGAATATTGTAAATCTCAGAATGTCAGCAACCCAACCTCATTTGACTGTGGAACTCTGTTTAGTAAGATCAGTATTCCCCAAGACATATTTTTAAAAATCCTTTCTAGCCTGTCACAACTGGATATGTGCATATGTGAAATAAAATGTTCGAACCTATCAAAAAAAAATGCTTGGACCTGTCTTACATACCCATGCACATACACACACCCATCAGGTAAAATTAGAAAAATATCTCAGAAATAAATGCTTTCTTCCTGTAGTAAAAGCAGTGAGTGCTCATGTCTGGTCACACTTAGAGTACACACTCAACATTTATCATGATGTTTCTCAGGGTTGTCCTAAAGTACTAGGTATAGAAGGAGAAGCAGGACTCATGTGCTGGCCCAACCAAACCCACCAAAACACAAGCAATACTATTTAAGATCTGCCACTGATTTCTAGAGAGTCAAGATTTAAAAGTCATGTTTCAGTCATATCTGCATAATACTAGATTAGCCTGAGGTTTTTTCTTCGTGGTGGTGGTGTTTTATTGTTGTTACTTGAGATGGAGTCTTACTATGTTTCCCAGACTTGTCTCAAACTCCTGGGCTCAAGCAATCCTCCCACTTCAGTCTCCTGAGTAGCAGGGATTACAGATGCACACTACTGCCCCTGGCTAGCCTGTTGTTTTTAGACATGTTCCTAATGAAAATTAATTGACTCAAGTTATTTGACACCATGTAGTGACTTTTTAAAGGCTTTATTCACAGAAATTATCGCTTTTAAAACAGCTAGATTGTATCAGCATACCCTCAGCAATATTTATTAAGTGTGCTAAGTATTAATGAAGAGGAGCAGAGGTTGTTATCCAGGCTTTCACCCCAAAGGACCTTCTGAGGGAAGTTTCAGTCTATAGTGTATGGATCTCAGAAGTGTTGCCTGGGTTGGGATCCTTGGCAGGACAGGGTTCACTATTTTCTTTGTCATCATAAAAGTCTATAAATAAGGTGACAGGCAATGTTCCTCTTTGTCCTTTGCCTGCACAATGTTCTACTCTCTCTGAAAGATGTTCACAAGTCCATTTTACATCCTAGGTTTTTAGTTCTCTTTTCATTTGTTTCCTCACTCCAGGGATTAGATTGTAAATTCAGAGGGAAAGATAGTAAACATGGATTACCACCCCTAACTAGTTATGTACAGCTGCTATTATGTTATTGGTATCTGGTCAACGTTTTTTATATTTCCCATAAATACACATTAGAATGTTTGCTATCATCTTATGCTTTGTTTTGCTTTGCTTTCCACAAGAACGAAAGTAACTGATCTTTTTCTTTATATTCATAATTGGACATAGAATGTCACTTATGAAATTACTCCTTGAAATTATAGGTTTTCCTCAATATTTTTAGCCCTTTTATATTTTTCAATCCAGGAGCATTCTCTTTGAAGATTTTATGACTGCTTGCTATTGTGAAAATGAAAGACACCAAAATCTGTGCCTCTATTATAGAGAAAAAACATATGCTCCTCAAACATGAAAATATTCACTTGGGAAAAATTAACCAGTGAAACCATCTAATTGAAAAATACAGACTGCTTTTATTCTCCATTTGATCAAAATGAAAGATTTTAGAAAACTGTTGCCTGCAGTGGATATACTGATCAGAAATTTGAAAGGAGAATTTTTTATTTTTGAGTCAAGGTCTCACTCTGTTGCTCAGACTGGAGTGCAGTGACATGATCACAGCTCACTACAGCCACAAGCTCCCATGCTTGGGTGATCCTTCTGCCTCAGACTCCTGAGTAGCTGGGACTACAGGCATATGCCACCATACCTGGCTTATTATTATAATTTTTTTTTATAGAGACGAGGTCTTGCTATGTTGCCTAGGCTGGTCTCGAACTCCTGGGCTCAAGCAATCCTCCCAGGACCTTGAAGGGGGCTTCTGATGGGAGGTTGAGATCTCTGCCTCTGACAGCTCATTACATTAGAAGCCAAAAGAATAGGTCAAAGTGGTTATTTAGTTGATATTGTGGGGTCTTATGTCTTATAAATTATTTCTGATAAGGTAATAGCTCAACACTGGCTATTGCTAGCTATTTTTTCCTTCAAGTGTCTATACATAGGTCACACAATCTAAGAACTGTTTGGGCAAAGGGAACAAACATAAGAAAACATAGGAAATTGCCCATCACATCTTTGTCCTCATTGGCATCTACTATTTTATGTGATGTCCTAATATTTCAACAAATAGTCTCTTCAATATTTTATCTGTTATGGTCCTAACAAAGATAAGTTGGTTAAGCAAGCAAGCTAATTTCAGTTTTGAAATAAGATGTTTATGGCTTTAAGAGAGGAAAGGAATGCTTAATTAATAGATTTTAACCTGCACTTTATTTGGAAACAGCTTAAATGTAGGCATCTTCTTAAAAGTCTAAAGAGTTTTATGTCTTTTAATCTATTGAATTTATCTAAAAATTTAATATAATAACATCAATGTTCTTTTTATCCTCCTATTTTCTTAAATAACACAATTAAAATTAACTTTATTACCCCAGGAGTTTTCTTTGACAAGAAATAGTTAACCATTTTGTGCTTACATCAGAGGCTTGAAATTTTCCTATAAAGTAAATCAATTCATGAGATTACCTTAAACTGTATGTCAATTGTAGACTTTTAGGATAAACCTATTTTTGAAACATTTATATTTCACAAGGTGCACACACAGATTTGGGGACACCAAATGAAAAAGAAAGGCTGATTTAGTGGACGAACTTATGAAGAGACAGGCATCACATTGGTATGCCAATTAGCCATACCAATCCATCCAAGTCTGTCCTGAACCGTCTGGAATGCTTTATAAGGTGGAACCCACAGATAAGTCAAGACTTTCTTATCTGCCTATAGCAGCTTTGAAATTTTGAAGTCATTGTCTGGATTGCTTTTTCAGTGCCACACTCATGAAACATCCCATGCAAAACTGTCATCCATATTCAGTCAGACAATTTCTGTGTACAAAACTGTAGTTCCTGTTACCTTCTCTGAATGTCATTTCATCAGCGCTTGTTTCTTGGAGAGAAAGATCTGTGATAGCCTTATGAACAATAAAGAGATTCTCCTCTGGGTTTTCTGGAAAAAAATATAAGGTTAGCAATTTAACATTTAATATATATATATTTCAAGAATTAATTGTCAATTTGGCTCTAGATAGATTTCTTTAAAATATGATCACTAAAAACTAGAATTTGATTCAAGCTTTATTTTTATTGATTTCATTTACTTAATGACTACCTACTGATAATTTCTCCTTTAATAGTTATATAAGGTATAGAACCATAAATGAAGACATTTTCGGGTATAATTTTTAAAAATCTTAAAACTCTGAATTCTCTGCTCAAATAATTAGTGGGGCTATCCACAGCAATAACAAATAACAGGTAGCATTTACCCAACACTTAGCAACAATTGAAAGAACACTTCACATGTAGGTAATATCATTTTACCATCTTATAGTAACAAACAAACAAACAAAACAGGCCTAAAGAGACAAAGTTGTTTTGGGTCACAGGGCTGTCAAATAGACAAGCTTGGATTTGACCCGAGGCAGAGGTTTAGTCTTCACCTTACGCAGCCCTAGTAGAATATGAAGCCACCTTTTCTGGGTGTCCAGTTCATTCCTATAGTAGTTTATAAAAAAAAATCCAGAGTGGGCTTATAAGTCACAACAAGCCAATTGAGGGGAAGGGAAATACTTTACCTTTTAGAATCTTCTCCGTGGATGAGTTGAGCAGCATGTTCCCTTGTAATTTTCCACTCTCCTCCTGACCTTCTGTGGATAAATCTTCCAGACTGGATTCTACCCTGCAGTGTGGCGGTGTACTGTCCACATCAGTCAACTCCTCGTTGCTTTTTTTGATTGGTTGTTGACTATTTTCAGGTGGTTTATCCCCATTACACTCAGCCTGAATAACTGTCGCTGGAACATCTGTCATGATGTGCAGTTGAGTCCGATGTGGAGAAAGCTTTGGGGAGTAAGCAGATCCTTGATAAGATACTGTCTCTTGCCTTCAAGTCCTGTAGTTCCAACTCCTACTCTAAGAGTACAAATTATTCACTTTGGTGCATAATAACAAGGTTCTTTTCCTAAAGGTGTCCAGACAGAGCTTAGAGCAAAAGCAATAGGATTTGTCAGTTTTGCCAGGAGCCCATGAACAAGAATCTGGCCAATCACCTCCTTCTTTGTTGCTTAGCAAGTCCCACTTGCCCAGTTAAAGGCACCCCTTTGATTTACATAAACAAACAATCTGAAGCAATCAGGCTTTTGTGTTGCTTGTAGAGAGGGACTTTCAGCTTGTCAGTCCCCCTCTGGGAACAGAGATTTTTGTCCCTTTTCATAATGGCCCATTGTAATTTTCCTTGTAACAGGAGCCACAATTGTTCCACAGCTTTAATCCAGAGAGAATGACCACCTTGAGGCATATTAGTTCTGTGTAACCAGCTTAACATTTCCAAACAGATTTTGTTCAAGTAAAACCTCAGCTATTTTGTAAGGGACAATGGCATCGTTTCATATTTATTAAGGAATAAAAACAGCTTATCAAAAACCTATAAACAGGACGACTTTATTGTAAATGGTTCTGGCAGCAGATTTCCTGCTGTGTTTTCCGAAGGCTGGCGAAGGGACCTAAAAAAAAACAAATAAATTTTACTAACTTACTGATATCAAAATAATTTTCTCCACGAAGTTTTCTCTTCCCCCCATCAGAATTATTCTGTATGTTCCATAATGATATTACATGATGCTGGTAAAATGCTATAGTACCAATGCACTATGTTCTTCATGGAAACAGATAATTTTAGTAAAATATCTGTTCCTGACCACCCCTTTCTTTTGAATTCCTTTTTTTTCCCGGATCCCACATTTTACAAAATGGTTCCAGAGCCTTAGCCCATGCTGCCCTACTGAGATGCCTTTCTCTTCTTCAAGGCCAAGCCCTTGGCCTAACCAACTCTTCTAGGTTCTCAGTTTTTAGGCTTAAATATCATATCTTTAATGACACTTTCCCTGACCCACAGGATTAGAATCAGACTCTGTTACCCATTATCTTTGCCCTTCGGAGAACTCTTCATAGTTGTAATTAAACAAGTAATTGCCCAATTATCTTTGTAGTGTGTTTCACCAAGTAGAATCTAAGAGTCCTCTGCAGGAGCCATTACAAATTGCTTTTATGTGTCCCCAGCATGTAGCATCTGCCTTGAACTAGGTAGTGCCCAATTAAAAAAAAAATTGTAATATGTGTAAATATATATTCAAATACATGAATAAATTTAACCCCAAAGAAAAAATATCTTAATTTTTTCTAAAAGGAAGAAAAATGGAAGTTAGAAAGGAAGTGTAAATATATCATCTTTAAAATGATGTATAAGGCTGAGTCCATTAGGGTCTATATCATGGACGACAGATACACTGACAAATATGTCACACTCTGGTATAATTCCCTCTTCCATATTCGTGGAAGACATCTCTAATAGATTCTGGAATTCCCTCCCTCGTCATCACCAGCTCTTCTCTTTTCAGCGCACTAATTATTTGTTTGCTTTTAGTTTCCTTAACATGCACTCATATAGAACGTATTGCATGCCAGGCACTGTTCTAATTGCTTCACAAATAGTTATACATTTAATCTTCCTAACAGACCTATGAGGTCGGTGGTATTATTATCCCCATAATACAGACTAAAAAAAAATGAAGTTCAAAAAGATTAAGGAACTCAGCTAAGAAGGCCACACTACTAGAAAGCCTACAGATAAGAGTTTGCAGCATGTATAAAGCTAAGGGCCATCCCTGGCCTTTGTGCAGATGTTTTCCTTGGGCCAGAAATTCCATAGGTATCCAGAATTAAACACCCTGGCAGCAGAGGTAGATGTAGCCATGAGAGGGCAGCAGAGGGCCTGAGACAATATCGCGGCCATCCCCAGAAATAACACTGCAGCTGCCGAGGACGTGCTGGGAGGCAGTCCTCCCAAGAAATTCAACTAGTAAGACTATTGATGAGAAAATATTGAGTGGAATCAGGTGGAAGAATGCAGAAACCAAGACCAAACCTTAGGAACAAAAGGGGATATACTAGATTGTGAGCGGAAAGTGGCACCAATTCAACTGAATGCCCAGCTATAAACATAGAAGTATGCTCACAGCTTTAAAGGACCTGTCTCCAATCGCTCTTAGTTTCCTTGGGCTGCCAAGTACCTCAAATCAGAAACACAGCCAAGATGAGAGAGTTTAGGCTCGTTGGGTCTATTTCTAGATTTCTATTGTCCTATAGCAACATGCACCTTTTATCTATAGACTAGCTTTTATGGGAATCTATTTATTTATATTTGGGTTGCCTTCTTTCTAAAGGCATGCTATGACATTTTATGGCATGTAGAATTACTTCAGTTTGGAAAGATAGAAATTATGCAGAGTTCTGTCAGCTTGGTTTAGGTTTACCAGTGTGTTCACTTTTATTAAAAACATATTTTTATGCCATCCTACAGAATAGTGGAGGTCAGGTATATTGTTTATAACATGCATTATTTTTCCTACAAGAATATGACAATATGAGACACATTTAGCACCAAGATGACTCTATCTCACTACCAGATAAAACATTGAGTATTTTGTTCATAAGAAGGTAAGCTGTTGTCAACCACTGTTTGTAACAACCTGTGATTTAGAAAGTATGTTGGAATTTGCACCAATAAGTCTTAATTCAAAAGCTATTGCATGATGTCCACTCTATGAAACATGACTTGTTAATTTCATATAATTTATTGCAGTATTTGGCTTTTTCCCTAAACATTATTCTTAATGGTAAAGGATGTATATATGTATAAATGCAACTATTATCAAATCTACAGCAGACTATGATAATGAAACAATCTTTACGTGGGAATGTAAAGAACCAAAAATAAAATTATGTGTATATTCACATTTCATTTGTCAAATGACAAGTGCCTAATGTTAAGACTACAATAGGTCCAGATACAGGATTTGGGGAAAACTTGTAAAAACCTGATCTTTGATGATATTTGAGAAGCCACGCTATAAGTTAATGTTAGAGCTAATTGGTGGCCAATGAGCACTGTATAAATCAAGGAATAAATTTAAAAGATAAATTTTTGATCCTGGCAACTTGAAGCCAATTCTTATACAAATGTTGATTTACATAGTCGGGACAGGTGTGTTTTTTCAATCAGGTTTGAAACAGAAAGTTAGAACCACTGAGTTCTATCTAACTATCTGTCTCTACCTACTTACCTACATATCTGAAGGGATCTGACATTATACAATTATAGGTACTGGTTAAGTTGTCCTTATAGTCTCTTGTTGCCTCTGATGCTGGAGTTTGAAGGCTCAGAGCAGAAGTTAGGGAGGGAAGATGGATGTGAAGGGGGGCAGCAAGAACATGGTGAGCACACAAGTACAAGCTGGAACACACAAGGACAAACAAACCCGTGTTGGCTCTCACTGCATCTGACCTTAGTGGTCTGAGTATCTTCCTGAAGAACCTGGGCCCAAGAATCACAGAGGCTGGAGGAAGAGGAGGAGCCACTGGAGGCCCATCGGCTGCGCATGCCCCAGGTGAGCCCATAGACCGGCAATGATGTGTGCAAGCTGCAAAAAGCTACTTCACTTCTGTGCTGCGAAGCACACACAAAAATGCCTCCTTTGTCCCACCTTTCTTTTTCAGGAAACCTACGGGAAAGGAAATTCAGGGAAATGTAGATTAGCCTAGTCATATTGACACCCAACAGTCATCAGTCCTACCAAAACCCCATAGAATCTTCTACAGGGAATACAGCAATGCTTCAGGGAATGTGCAACCATGAAGGACCCTGAGGAGACAGGATAATCCAAACTGGATCACTTCAAGAGATTAGAATTCCAAATTGAAGAGACAGTCAGCTAAAGTGAACTGTTACTAGACTTTCATAGCAGAATAAAATCAATCAATATCCATATATTTCACTTCAGAAAACAATAACTGTCTGCCACCAAGTGTGAATTAGATTATGTTGATTATCCTGTACCAGGTTAGTAACTTACATTACTTTTATGCCCAATGTGGAATTATAGCTTTCATTCCAACAATATAATATCCTAAAGTAAAGAATCAGTCCTTTCAGGAAACCAACAGTGAAATCTATGGGTAACTCAAGAGTTTGAAGAATTCAATGTAACAGAATTTGAAAATTCAACTGCATCTTCAACTGCATTCTTTGTGATCTTGGTAGCAAACGAGGGGAAGATTATTGATAGTCTCTCAAAAGACAAAGACTTTCTAATATGCCAGGAAAGATAGATCATTTTGTGGTTCTAGAATCTGGAGCTTAGCCTCCCAGTAATGACTGTACATAATTTTAAAGAAATGTACTGAAAGAAATAAGCTTGGCATTTGGTGAGGATTGGAGGAGAGTGTGGCCCTGAACAAAGGAGCCACATGTAGGTCCTTGTGGCCAAAATAGGCAGAATAAGGAGGTAGGGAGAACAAAACCCACAATTAAGAGGCCCCTTCAAATAGGGGACAAATCAACATTCTCATCATTGATCCCTACAGCAGTAGAGAGGAAGGAATCAGCCAGCTCCTTTTTTGCGACCTTGGGCAAGTGTACAAATCAGGCATGCTTGGGTTGCAGAATACCTAAACTCAGTTCAAGGAATTTTAAACCCAGTGAACTTAGCAGCTCATTTAACTGCAAATCCAGAGTTGACTTCACCCTTATTTGGATTCAAAGATTTAAACCATGTTATAGGTAACCTGTCTCTATTGATCATATGGAAAGTACATATGAGGGGGCAATTTGGTGAACCTGAGGGTCCAGTCTTTTTCTAAGCCCCTTAATACCTCCAGCTGAGCATAGTAGGCTAAATGATGACCACCTCCAAAGAGATCCACATCCTAATCCCCAGAACCTGTGAATTGTTACCTTACATGATAAAAGGGATTTTGCCAATGAGATTAAATTTAATTAAGAATCTTGAGATTTGGTGATTATCTTGGATTATTAAATTGGTTCTGATAAGAAGTGATACGAGGAAGTGATCATGAGTCAACAAATGGGGACAGCCTCTAGAAGCTGAAAACGTAGGGAAATGGATTCTCCTCTGAAGCTTCTATATTGAGCACTGCCCTGCCAAAACTTTGATTTTAGAATTCTAACGTCCAGAACTAAGAATAAATGTATGCTGTTTTTAAGCCACTAAATTTGTAGTAATTTGTTACAGCAGTGATAGGAAACTAATTACTACATTTCCTGCCTCTCTGCCTTCATTTTCCCTGACTGCCTAGGGCCAGGGAATTTAG